TCGAGATTGCCAAATATCCCGCTATTTCAACTACACTGATCGCAAATTATACAGTTAATTTGCGTCTTCATCAGCCCAAAATTGCATTAGCGGGATATTTGGTGAAGGCGCAATTTGTATCTTCTGGATTATTTCCCAAATCAGAAATAGCAGGATATTTGGCAATCTCAAGCTGATGAAAACATGCCTTGAAAGAACAAGGTTATGTCGGGTGTCTGCTGCAGTATGTGACCAGAATGCAAGGAATCCTAAGCATTTCTAGAGAGTTGACGGCCTTTCCCAGCTCCTACCTGGATTGGACAATACCAATCCAGACAAAGGAAAAGACATACATGTAAGGAAGGTTCCTATATGCTTTAGAGATGAGGAAGGTTTCTACTTCCTAAGCTTTAGAGATTCAAAAGGCCGTTTTCATAATGTAATCAAATTTAATGCATGCACGTCTTTGAGAAGTGCCTTGATAGAAATTATTTTGTTCATCTGTTACAAATAATTGCATGTATTTTAGTCTGTGACTGTGAGCACGGAATCCATTTTGACACTAATATCAATATGACCATGGTAATACCAAACAGATGTAGAATACCGAGACTACAGGATTGACTCGTAATTACATGTATATGATTCTGTGAGTGAGGTACACTGTAGGTTCAAAGACATACATTTGTACATGTACATTTTGTATCCTGTACACACCAAGAAAGAGATTTACAAATCTAGACGGGACAAAGTATGTCAGTCTCTCCAAGACAAACTGAACATGTATCTGTACAGTACATGCAGAGTGTGCTGCTTTGACAGTGAAATGATGCTTCAGAACTAAACGCTAAATTCTCAGGTGGAGCGCATCAATTTCTGGGCACTCTGTCAAATAGGAGCTTCTAACTGATGTTTAAGAGAGGCATAATTACAGATTGTTTGGATAAATAAATTATGGAAATGTAACTTTGACACATCGATGCCGTTAGCTGGGGACTGTCCTGAAGATGCACTCCTGACCCGGCCGGCCCATGACAATCCAAATACCCGATAAAGATTCTTGCTGAGAAAATCCATCAAGAGCTTGCACTGCCAAACTAATGGTATCCATCTCAGTCAACATCCAAAGACTATCATCCAGGCTCTGGGCGAACACAACGTAAATGAGGAATTGCAGGGTTTGAACAATGGATTGAGATACAAACATCATGGTAATTTGAAATTTGCTACAGCAGCGACAATCGCTCAGGGCTTTAATTCAATCAAAAGAAGAGTTTCTGTTAGGGTTGCAAACGGGTTCTTTTTGCAATACATGTATGTTTTATGTTAAGTTGGGTTAGCTTTAGTGTGTGTGAGGGTACACAACCCTAACATTATACTTGAGTTGGGATCAGTGTTGAAGTTAGGGACACGGCTAGTGTAGTAAATAACAGTGGAGCAATTGTCAGTGGTGCAAGTGTCATACAAACTAACATTATCATTTCAAGCACTTATGTCCTTTTTTTGGCAAGGACGAATCTATGAGTGTCTCTCTGCACCCAGGGAAGAAATGGGATCTAGGCCGTTTCATAAAAACTTGCTATCGAAACAAATGTTAAATTTCTATGACAAATTTGCTCTCGGCCAATCAAATTCCATGATTTTAGTAGCTTATATATAACATTTATTGTAATTTGTTATTGATAACAATTTTTATGAAACAGAGCCTCTGTACATTTAGGCCGACAAAAGTCCTTGTGGATGAATTAGTCATAGTGCCCATGGTGGCCATGTGGTAGGAATACTCATAGGAGTATAGACGTGAACACACACTCTGAACTGGTATCTACAGCACAGAAAAGATTTAAATCGACCCTCAAAAACAAAAACAAAGACAAGAAACAAAAGATAAACCCTCGTCTTATAGAGTACCGATGTGTGACGTCATACTGCCAAAGTTTTCTAGGTTGCTGGTTCCAGACACTTTTGTGCTAAACAACAGCATAGCTATCACACCAGCGCCACACACCGAATTTGTCCTGCTCCAGTCTGTTGCTTCAATGGTTTCACGGTGAACCTCATGAGCAGGCTGTTGTTTTGAACCAGTAATCAGCATGAGGAGCGTATATTACGTGAGCAGTTCTGTACTCTATAGAGTCTGGAAGATAAGACTAGCTCTTCATTACCCATTGCATTGAGTTTATGTAATGAGATTTGACCTTGGCTAGTACCCGAGTCCATCAATAAACGTGTACAAATGAATAAACATAATCTGCTCATCTATACAATGCGTTATACCTCAGTTACACATCAGCTATGCTGACATCAGACTGACAACAGACAGAATAATTTATTTCATTACCACGGATAGCCAAGAATTAGTCTGTTTATTAGCCAAGAATAGGTAGATTTGGAGCCAACGTAGAGTCAGTTTGGCGGTGTGACTTAAGTATTAGAGCACATTGCACAAACAAACTGACAGGAAAATTACAGGCGATAATTTAGGTTTAGCCTGTCACACTATACTGTCACAATATCAATCATCAAAAATATTTAGAACTATTGGGTTCATGTATTGAATTATTTGTGGAGTTACTACTCTTGACTTCTTTTTTGTTGTAGTATCTATTGAGAATTCAACACCAAATTGAACTTGAAAACTTGCTAAAACAGCTAAAATGCACAAAATGAGGTAAAAAATCAATATATATTCTAGTTAATAATTACGAAAACTACAGTACCTTGTGCCTGTAGAATGGGCAGGATGCAAAGCCTGCCCATTCTACAGGCACAAGGTACTGTAGACAATCCCAGGTAATCACGGTTTCCTGTCTATTACTTAGTTTCAGTTGATGTGCAGTGCCACAACACAGTTCATTGACCTCAAGTTTAAGACAGAGCATCATGGGTAATGAGGATAGCAGGATGACCTCTGCATGCCAAATATTGCTCAGAGATGACAGAACGTTCTGGCATGATGTCAGTTTTGTGCGTTAGAACTTAGAAGCACTATGGAAAAATCCATGAACTTTAATGAATGACCTTGGGTATCTAATGAAGAGTTGATAGTATGACAATGCGTTCAAACAACCAGCAGGGAATAATTTTCCTCAAATTTTTTGATTAGCAATTTCAGCCGATGGATAAATATTTCAAATGAAATTCTGTACATTTCTATGGAAGAAAACTGCTACACAAAAGATATTTTGTATAGCAGTCATGCAAAAATGCATAGCAAATTGCGATGCGATACCAGGAAAATTATTCCCTGACCAAATTCATTGCACAGCTTCATGAGAATCGTATCTAGCTCAACGATAGCTATTGAACTTTCCTGTATAAAGGAACGTTATGTAATGAAACATCGTATAACGAAACGTCATTTTGGACGCTTAAAAAAGAAACGGCTTCCCGCTGTTGTCTAAAATGCCATATCGCCCAGAAATCGTTTAACTGGGAGGGGCTTAGCATGAGCATGCACTGATGATTGGCCAGGTGTCATGTCAAATGACCTCTTCAAAGTTCATTTCTTTATACTGCCTTTCTTTATACAATTTTGCTAGTTGGTATGGTTTTAAGGGCTCTAGTGCTTTTACATGTACATGCTCTCATGTGCTATTTGAGCCATATCTCAGATAATTTTCAATATGACTAATATTTCAGAAAGCTGGATTCTGGTCAAGATGAAGAAAAAATTGTGAGCTTTCTCATTCTTTGTATGTCGGTTTGAAAGGATATTGAAGTAGAAATGTTCCTGGAAACCGAAAGGATTGCTCTTCAAATGCCCTCAATATGACAATAAATACAGTTTGGATCAAACATTGTGTGTATAAGTCCCATATACCCATTTTCGTGTGCAGTACATGCAACCTTTTCACTTTGACGATTGCACCATTTCATAATGCAAATCAATTCTTACGTACAACATAATCAACCTCTCCCAGTTGTTTTCTTGATGGTTTCTTTCCCAATGTAATCTCATGATCACTAGAACTTTTTTATCTTCCAATGTGTTTTGTGTAAAACTGTGTGAGCTGTAGAGAGAGCCTTCATGAAGCATTCATGTGTGCATGCATCAGGTTGATTGGTCTGTTATTCCACCTGTCTCTCCCTCATTATGCATTCACTGTGTGTCACACACATACACTCCCACCCATACCCAACGCAAAGCAAAGGTACATTAATCCAACCATCCCATCCCATTCCCATCCCAGAAGTGCCGGCGCTGAAAGGGCAATGTTTCAGCTTCGCTTGGCCTCATGATCACGGTAGCTCATGAATATGTGCGATTGTGCGTCCTGTCAGGAAAAGACCCTCTTACATTGTTTCGCTTGGTAAAGAGGAAGGTACATGTAGGTACATTCTTGTCACATTTTCCATCCAGCTCATCAGTGACCAACATTTTGAATGAAAGATTGTCTTCATCAAACTGGCAAGCTTTCATTTAAAAACTTCACTATCCTAACAAAAAAAATCTTGGACATGTATCCAAAATGATTTTTTGTTTTTAATCATTTATTTTTAGAGTTACAAAAATTACCTGACGAACAAAAGAAGATGATTATGAAAATTTGAATATTTCGTAAATCTCAGTGTATAAGGCGCACTTTTTCCCCGCCGAAAAAATCTTAAGTCGGAGGCTGCGTCTTATACACAGGTACAAAAAAAAAAAAAAAATGACAGGCAATACTAAAAGATGAATATGGTAATAAAGTACTAAAATTGGTTTATTGCCCTAAAATGATTTTCATTTCCATGCTTGGCGTCGGGTTGACTCCTTTCCTTAATGTTTTCTTTCATCGGACTTCAGCATTCTCAACATGAATTCAAGTTCTTAGATGTGAAGCTAAGTAGCTACATGATAAAAGGCAGTTAGGGTAAATGGTTTGAAAATAACGACAGAGAAGGGGAAATGAAATCCAAAAACAGAACAAAACAAAAAACAAAACTGTGAGGCATATCAACATTAAAGATAAAAAAACATGAAAGAAAACGAAGATTAAAAAAAAAACAAGCAAAAACATTTGACATATAAAACTCACCTTCTTTCTTGAGCTTGGTCAACACAAAGATGAGATAGTTGTTGAAATCAGGATACTGGTTCAAAGATTCCAATTTCTTGAGAGTAGAGGGGTTAAGGACAAAGATTATTGCATTGTTTCTACAGAATAGAGGCAAAGAAGAGTTTACAGAACACTCTTTCATATCACTGGTTAGACGAACATACATGTTTTTTTAAAAGCTTATTCACATGACATCACTGATCTAAAGCTATTTGCCCCTCCAAAACATGTGAAGATATTGTTTCAGGCAGGTCAACTCTGTAAGTACATGGAATTAAAAGATGAAATAATTAATATATTACTGATTTGTTTTTCATACACATATGAATTTCATCTCATTTGTGTCAACTTGATTGATTTTTCTAAATAAAACATGCATTGATATTGAAAATATTTTTGTGTATTGGTTTGTTTGCTATTATTTTATTGTTGTATTTTTGTTTGATTTTTAATTCAACCAAACCTATATTTATTAGGGCAAGTCAACTGCTTGGTGAATAAGAAAAGATCAGGTGCATAGGTAGGTACATGTACAGTGTAATAATGCACCCTACAATTACACTGTATATTGTCTTTCATGATTCATCAAAGGAATCACCACACAGCCATAGGAGCCCCACCCAAATCAAGGTGTGTCATGCTTATCTTTGCTGGGTTTCCCTATTATTCAAAAAGACAAACCAAAGGAAGCGAGTTGGCTCAGTCGGTAAAGTATCTGCCTGGCGAACCAAAGATCGTGGGTTCGAATCCCACCCAGACGGATGACTGAAGCCTGCGTTGTTTCATGGACGCAGGCCATATCATCAAGTGGAAAACACTGCGTCCCTTGGATAGGACGTTGAATAGAGGCCCTGTGAAGAGGAGAGTCACCACCTTTGCACATTAATAACCCACTGCACTATTTGTATAAGAGTAGGGGAAACCCCTGTGCAGTGATCCCTGTGTAGTGATCCCTGTGCAGTGATCTACCTGCACACCCACCTGCACACCCACCCCAATCAGTTATACCCAGAGGAGAGTCCAGAGGGTTACAGTGATTTAATTCGCTTTTCGCCTCCCAGGCACAGGTGGCACCAAATACTTAATAATAATTAAGAAGGCCAAGTTTGAAAAAATGGCATCTAACAACATTCCCTCCTTTTGAGTAAGAAAAATAGGGAAGAATATAGTAAAAGAGGGGAAAATCAGGATAAAACCGGTGAAGAAAAAAAAAATCGGGAAAAAATATTAAAAAATCGGGAAACCAATTTAAATTGGATCAGGCCTGAGAATACAACTATGCAGTACTCCACACCTGGGGGAAATTAAGGAGAAGGAGGTCAATACGAGAGACTTTTTCCTATTGGGGAGAAAATCTCCTAGACCTACAGGTAGATCAATGCAGGATACCATAATGACTTCATTTATATTTTGCTGCAAAGGGGGTATACATGTACCAAACTAAAGCTCAAAAGTTTTTAAAAAATGAGCAGATTCATCATGAAAAATTACTTTGCCTTGATAGCTCAGTTGGTAGAGCAGTGGTCTCAAAATCCACTGACCCGGGTTCAAAACCAAGTCGATGCGCTAGTGCCTTTTGGTAAGGCATTAATCCTCATTACCTAAAAGTAGGGTGTCTGAACGATTTTTCAATTTTCCCTTTTGGATCATTTGTCACCATTATGGTTGGATATTTAGAAAAATCATTTACTCAGAACTACAAATTCCAAATTTCAAGACTCACCAATGTGTCTATAAAAAGATACAGCCCCTCAAATCTAGTAAATATTCATAGCATTTTGGTCAGAATGGACGAAAAAGATGTTACACGCAGAGTTGCAAATTGTGCTCAACAGCTGAGCAGCTCGAACAGCAATCTGCGTAGCGCTATATGCAAAGTGTACGCCTGTTGCTTAGCTGCGGCGCTTATTGAGCGCGATTGTTAAACTCCTCCTCCGTCGTCTTCAGTGTGCATCCGCATACGCATCGGTTCTTCTGATGTCCCTTGACATTGCACATTTCTGGGCGCTGATGTAGGGACACTGATTTTCCGCGATCACAGAAAACGGACGAATTCACGGAATTGACCATTCGAAACGGAAAATGCAATTTCGAACGGATAATCGTGGAAAACCCCTTTTACCTCAAAACTTTTCATTTTTCAAGAAGAAAATCGTAAAACTTACACTATTTTTGTGACTCGTTATGCAGTGAAAAAATATTGGGCCTCAAATCATGGTTAATAATTCCGAATATTTAGCGATATTCGTCAGATTCTTAGGAGACCGGGCGCTGCCATTTTGTTTCGCTGGACCAATAGAGATTGTGACACAACACAATGAACAAATAGCAGCGAAACGATCCTATTATGCCAGCTAGGCGCCTAGTATTACGTAGACGTAATACTAGGCACACACACGCCAGCAGTGGGCGCTACGTGTGGCGAGATTGTACACACGCTGTTGTACATAAGTAATAAGATATCACCAGTTCACTGTCTACTTTGATGGGTTGTCTGTCTTTCCCCAAGAATTTATCGCTTATAATGTGAAAGTCTCTGCACAAAGTCAATGTAAATTGAATCAAGAAAATCATCCCGGAATTAATTTTTCGCAATGACAATGCATCAATCAAAAAAAAAGAAACGTCTGCGAAAATGCAGACGATCCTTATGTTTAACTTTGCATCGGTCCACGTTAATGAAGACGATTCTTATTCTCGGACCTAGTGTTCATGTTTCTTTTGAAACAAATGAAAGCTAGTCTAAATAGTCAATCTCCAATAGATCTACGTAATCAAGTTGTATGGAATACAGTCTCTCGATCTCGAATGGGAGAGAGTTTCCAAAATTGGCAGTGTGCTACTACAGTCTACTGATGATGGACATGCATTGAACTTTGAAGTTGAACATCATGAGACATGAATGAATATATTGAACATGAAATGAGACTATCCGGCCCGGCCCGACTAACAAACTTGCTAGAAGTTTAGAATTAAATTGAAATCTAAATACTGAATAAATAAGATTTTGATGTTCAAGTATCAAAGCATGCCATCCAACATTTGAAACTATAATCTGATAAGCAACAACAATGCACAATACGCACACGTCATGAACAGTTCTCCATCTTTCTCAATTCATTGCAATCCATGCTCATTCACATGCACACATAATACACGCGCGAAGGTATGACGCACGTGTAAATAGACCGACAAGAACTGGAAATGAATGAATGACCGGCTCACAAAACTCCTAAGAAAAATACAACGGTTGCGAAGTTTTGATCTCGTAATATATAATTCATGCATTTGAAAGGATACTTGTTGAACTGCTCTCTGTATTTCTGTATCAGGACTCTGGGACTCCTTCAAAAGCTGTAAAATTTGCTCCAAACCATCAGTATTTGGCTGCCATGCTAACGCCATTTTGCCTCTTTGGCAATCTCGAAATAAAAAATTTACAACGGGTTTAGACACGAGATGGCGCTGTAACAAAACGTTAAAACGTTTTTTTCTTTTTTTAAGGAACTTGGCTAGGAATGGGCGCTGGTTTTAAAGGTACTATGTCCCTCTTGCAGCCAACCTCAAATTCTGTAGAACTTTGCAGGAATTATGAATATGTCATGTATGTCCTATATGTGAAATTTAAACGTTAGCAGTGTCCTCATTTTCAAATTATGCAAGGAAACGCGTTTACTTGCTAGACTTCACTGTCAGACACTATTGAGTGACTGACTGGCTTTTTTTCTTCTTTGGTAATAACATACATGAAATGAGTTGTAAAGGGTACATGAGCATTTGTCTACATCAATACAGGCGCGGATCCAGGGGGGCAGAGCGTGCCATGGCCCCCCCCCCCCCCCCAAAAAAAAAAGGAGAGAGAGAGAGAAGGAAAAGAAGGGAAAGAGGAGAGAAAGGGAAAAAAAGAAGAGGAAGAAGAAAAGAAAAGAGGGAAGAAGGAGATCGGGGGGGGGGAAGGACTTGCCTCCCCCTCCCCCCCCCCCCCCCCCAATAAAAAAGAGAAGGAAGGAAAGGGAAAGAAAAAAGATAAAGAGGAGATAAAGGGAAGGACAAAATAGGAAGAAGAAAAGAAAAGAAGGGGGATATCAGTTGCACTTTTCCCGCCAACAAGTTGTGGATCGAGGGGGGGGGGGCAAAAGACCCTAGCCTCCCCCCCCCCCCCCCCCGTCCCCGCTAAAAAAAGAGAGAAGGAAGGAAAAGGAAGAGAGGAGAGCTAAAAGGGAACAAAAAGAGGAAGAAAAAAAGAAAAGGGAGAAAAGAAGCGGAGATCAGTTGCGGTTAATCCCGACAACAATGTGTGGAGCGGGTTGGGGACCAAAATGACCGTGCCCCCCCCCCCCCCCCCCCCCCCCAGCAAACCTAAAAGAGAGATAAGGAAGGGAAGGGAAAGTGAAAGAGGAGAGAAAGGGAAAGGAAAAAAAAGAGAATAAAGAAAGGTAAGGGATATCAGTTGCAATTTTCCCGCCAACAAGGTGTAGATCGGAGGGGGGGGGCCCACTGGCATATACTGATAGGGGAGGGGGGGTTGGAGAAATAGAATTCAAACGTGGTTTATTTATAATTCCATAACGGTGGTTAACAAATAATGCTGAAATGAGATAATTTTCCTCACTTCATGCGTTTGTTGGAAAATGACAAATTCCTAAATTTACAGCCAGGCAAGAAAATGCTTCTTGAGATGCCTACATATCAGGGCCCGCGGAACGGCGAGGATCAGGATCCTCGAGCCCCTCCCCCCACACTTACTTTGAAAAAGTATATTAAAGAGAAATAGAAAGAAAGAGAGCGAGAAAGAAAAAATAGTTAACTGCCAGTGTCACATTATAATGGGGTATCAAAATATGCTCATCTGACCATGATTAAAATTAATGCCTAAAATCTTAAGGGCTCTGCCCCCTGGATTCCTCTTAGGGCCCCTAAGGCGGGCCCTTAGATGCTCATATGACGGTCATTTAATGCCTAAAACCCCTGATTTCTGGGGGCTCTGCCCCCTGGACCCCACGCCAAATAGTGTCCTGCTAGTGTCACAAATAATAATGTATCAAAATGCTCATCTGACCGTAATTGAGTGCCTAAAACCCTTGAGATTCAAGGGCTCCGCCCCCTGAACCCCAAGCCAATTAGTGACCTGCCATTGTAACAATTAGGTATCAAAATAATGCTCATCTGACCGTTATTAAATGCCTAAACTCCTGAACTTCCGGGGCTCTGCCCCTGGACCCCGTCTAGGGCGCTAAGGTGGACCCCTGAATGCTAATCTGACCGTAAATTAAAACCTTAAATCCCTGAGCTTCCGGGGCGGACGAGGTATCAACATATGTTCATCTGACAGCAGGCGCGTAGCCAGGGGGGCGGTGGGGTGGTCCTCCAATAAACGCCGGCCAAAAAAGAGAGGAGTGTAAAGGAAGAGGACGTAGGAAGAATAGGGAATAGACAAAGAACATATTTGAAATTCAGACAAGGATTTAGAGTCGAGAACGGTACAACGAATCGTCTTCTTTCTCTAATGAATTAATGAAACGTCAAAGCTTCCGCGCTACGCGCGGGGGGGGGGGGGGGGCAGGGGGAACTTAATTCAGACGAGGATAATTTTCGGGAACAGTACAACGAATCGTCTTCTTTCTATAATAATTTAATGAAACGTCGAAGCGGGGGGAAAACTGAATTTAGACAAGGATTAAGAGTCGAGAACAGTACAACGAATCGTCTTCTTTCTTTAATGATTTAATGAAACGTAAAAGCTTCCGCGCTTGGCGTGGGAGGGGGGAAACTGAATTTAGACAAGGATTAAAAGTCATAACGGTTCAACGAATCGTCTTATTTCGCTAATGATTTAATGAAACGTAAAAGCTGTATTCAGACGAGGATTATTTCGAGAACGGTACAACGAATCGTCTTCTTTCTCTAATGATTTAATGAAACGTACAAGCTTCCGCGCTTCGCGCGGGAGGGAGGAGGGGAAAACTGAATTCAGATGAGGATGAAGAGTCGAGAACGGTACAACGAATCGTCTTCTTTCTCTAATGATTTAATGAAACGTAAAAGCTTCCGAGGTTTGCGCGGGAGATGGGGATGAATTAAGACGAGGATTAAGAGTAAAAAACTGTACAACGAATCGTCTTCTTTTTCTAAAGATTTAATGAAACGTAAAAGCTTCCGTGTGTATTTTGGAGGAACCCCCCCCCCCCTTTTCTGTGATTTTTTTTTTTTTTTAATTAAAAAAAAAATTAAAAAAAATATATGCCAATGGCTGACCTAAAAAAGGTGACCTCACCCCCCCCCCAACGGAACAAAATGTCAAATTTTCAAATTTCGAGACCCCCCCCCAAAAAAAAAAAGTGTCCTCTTCCCCCCCCCCCCCCCCGCTTATTTAGCGGCTGGCTGAGTCGGTACGATTTTTTTCTCGGACCCCCCCCCCAAAAAAAAAAGTGGGCCCCCCCCCCCTAAGAAATCCTGGATCCGCGCCTGCATCAATAACCCACTTCTTGTGATGGCCAAGATTAAACTGATTGAATCTTTGCGCAGCATAAACGTATGACCATTCGGTGCAATTGTCTTAAAATCAAGACTATTACTTTTGGGCTCTATAGCCCTAAAGTCGATTTGACAACTAATAGTCGTTATTTTCCCACTTGAAGACATTTTCAAGCCCCAACTTTTTTAGGGAAGTTCTAAATTAGTTTTATCTTTCAAATGCAGTTGGAATTTAACTTTTTCATTTTTTGGGCCTGCAAATGGGACATAGTACCTTTAAATCATGAAAAAAAAAATATAAATGTAACTTTTCTTATAGTAGCGAACCTGTGATTGCATTATCCAGAAAGAAGAGTGGTCGAGATACAATAAAAGAAAAATTGAGGAAGAACTGATATAATAACTTTTGTGTCATAATTTTGTCGCAGAACAAAGTGTTTATGCCTGCATGTGCATGTGATATGTCAATTTGCCCTCTCATTAGAATTCCAGTGGCGGAATCGGGGGGGGGCAGCGGGCCTCTGGTGGGGTCGAGAGGGCGGAGCCCCCGAAAGCTCAGAGGTTTTAGGCATTTAATTACGGTCAGATGAGCATATTTTGTTTGTGGAAACACCCACTTCTATTTTTACTTAAACACTGTCAGGACACTAATTGGCGTAGGGTCCACGGAGGGATATTATCTGTAAAATTGCGTTGCCGTCAGGAAAAATGGGGCAGGGAGAAATGAAAGGTAAAGAAAAGGAAAAAAGAAAAAGAAAAAAGAAAAGAAAGGAAAAGAAAGAAAAGAAAGGAAAAGAAAGGAAAGAAAGGAAAAGAAAGGAAAGAAATGGAAAGAAAGGAAAAGAAAGGAAAGGAAAGGAAAGAGAAGAGAAGAAAAAAATAAAATAAAAAGAGGAAAGAAAGGTAAAGAAAGAAAAGGAAAAAAGAGGAGAAAAAAAAAATTGTTTAAAGAAGAAACAAGAGAGAAAGGAAACAGAAGAAACTTGGATGGAGGAGAGGGGTGGGAGTAATAGAGAGTTGGGGTTGTTGGGTGGAGTCGTCTCGTCGAGGGAGCAAGAAAGATACACATAGATATGTTGCTGTGTCGGGTCAGCTGTGTCGGTATTCTTGCTCGCGCGAGGGGGGGGGGGGGACTGAATTCAGACAAGGATTAAGAGACGAGAACGGTACAACGAATCGTCTTCTTTCTCTGATAATTTAATGAAACGCTTTCGCGCGGGAAGGGGGGGGGAACTGAATTCAGACAAGGATTAGGATGCGAAAACGAAACAACGAATTGTCTTCTTATTCAATAAAACGTCAAAGCTTCCGCTCGGGGGGGAAATGAATTCAGACAATTAGGATTAAGAGTAGAGTCGGTACAAGAATCTTCTTCTTTCTATAATAATTTAATGAAACGTCAAAGCTTCCGCGCTTCGCGCGGGAGCGGGTAAACTGAATTCAGACAATAAGAGTCGAGGTAAAACGAATCGAATTCTTTCTCTAATAATTTAATGAGACGTCAAAAGCTAATTCCGCGCTTTCCGTGGAAAGGGAAAACTGATTTTAGACAGCCGTGAGTCGAGAACGGTACAACGAATCTTCTTTCTCAAATAATTTAAAGAAACGTCAAAGCTAATTCCGCGCTTTGCGGGGGAGGGTAACACTGATTTCAGACAGCCGTGAGTCGAGAACGGTAGAACGAATCGTCTCCTTTCTCAAATAATATAAAGAAATGTCAAAGCTTCCGCGCTTCGCGCGGGAGGGGGAAAAACTGAATTCAGACAAGGATTTACGTTCGAGAACGGTACAACGAATCGTCTTCTTTCTCTAATAATTTAAGGAAACGTCAAAGCTTCCGTTTGCCCCTCCCCCTACTTTTCCGTTTGGGGGCGACCGAACCCCAGCTGCCCCCCCCCCCCCCACAACACACACAACACACTTGCGGCGCCTATATGGTTGTGACAGCTACTTTACCTGTCTTTAATTAAGGTATGAGTAAATATTTCGCAAATCATGGTTAAGAAAATTATGATTTTTAAAGATAAGAAGACTTAAATTGCCTGCCTAGTCGCAGACCCCAATCCTGGAGATAGGTCGATGTCAAACCCATTTGAATTCATTTCAGAATTCATATCCCATTGAGGTAAATGGGATTAGACAAAGTTGCTTTCTAAAATCTTAGGCCTACAATTCCTGGAAGTTGTATCACTATAATGGCGCTTGAATTTACGAAGAATTTGTTGATGGTTGACTCAAATCCAGTTATTGAGCAGAGGAAGCCATTTGAAGTCATTCGATCAGCACCTTCTCCCCATACTATATGCGAATCCCTGATGCGAATGCTCGTTGATGCATGATGATGTTATATGATGCTGACCATGACTAGGCCAAATGACAAACATGAAAAAAAAAGAGGGAACATGCATACGCGCAGGCGCGTACGCAGGTGGGGGGGGGGGGTTAAACCTCCCCCCTTAACATTTTTAATGTGTACGTTTTTGGATGAAAACCACCCCTTGACCGCGCCCCAAAACATTTTTGCTCATTACGCCACTGAAAAGAGGTAATACATTTTATTCCAACGTTATCGGTGAAGATGATGATATTTCCAACGACGGTATAATATTATGATATGAATGAATAATTCAACGATCAACAAACGAATGAACGAACGCACGAATGAATGAATAAATAAATGAATGATGAACAAAATGAGTGAACGAAGGAATGAAGGAATGAATGCATGGATACGATGAGGATCGTGATGATGATAATGACTTGCGCGTTCACACAACGCTGCAGCCTACGTGCAGATCATAAATTATAAGTCGCCCTCAATAGATAAAAATGATGAATACTGCCAATAAGTTCAAAGGTGCTTGGGTGTAGAGGTCAGTGGTGCTTATACGCTGCGCGCGCTCTCTGTGTAAACACCCACTTCTAATTATACTATAGGATGCACAAACTACATTAGATTCATATATAGAAGATCTACTCAAGTCATGTGATTTTACTGTAACCTTATTTGTATTCAGGTACACATTTCAATAGAGGATTAAGACTTTTGATCAAAGTTAGGTGCACCTCTTTCGACACATATTTTTAATCAACGTGAGAAATAAATGCTACAGATCTGCATGCAGTTTGGACGCACTTGTTAAGCGTATAGACTCAGGATATTGGTATAGATCTACTACGCGTCACAGCTTATAGTTTTAGATTGCATCGGGTCTTGCATGAACTCACTGTAGGCTAATAACTTCTAGTGTCATTAGCTTATCACATTTTAAAGTTTTATCGGACATCAATTATTGGATATTTAGAGGTAGAATGAACTCGTGTTTGTAATTAGCCAGAAATCCGTTATTTGTACCAATGGCTGAGAAGATTGAGGAAGAGAAAGCTACAAGCGCTTCACATAACCTAACATGTCCACTATGTCTTGGTATCTTCGACGAGGCGACCATCCTGACTTCATGCGGACACACCTTCTGTCGGAAATGTCTCAAGAACTATGACCTGTCCCATCAGGAACTTGATCACATGATATGTCCTCTCTGCAAGGAGGTCACCAAGTTGTCTGCGAACCGTGTCGATGATTTCCTCACCAATGTGACGGTCAACGGACTCGTAGACGATTACAACGCCAAGTGTGGAGGGGTGAATGCTGCCCTGGAGGTGCGTCCAAAATGCACTGCTTGCACATTCCATCAAGATGCTGTCTCATTCTGCAGAACATGTAATAACTACATGTGTGATAAGTGTCTGGATTGTCATCAACATCTTAAAGTCGTCTTTGAAGGACATGAGATTGTATCCATGGAGGATATCATCAAGGGGAAGGTCAGCATTGGTCACCTATATGAGAAGTGCTGCATCCACAAACAAGATAACAAAGATATGTTTTGTGAGGATTGTAAGGTCCACGTCTGTCACAAGTGCGTGATAGTCAGTCATCAAAATCACAACATCAAGCATCAGGCTGACTTCGAGCAAGAGTTACGGCTAAAGGTAAGTGTGGCTTTCGGACATTATTTTTTAAAACTCGCGTTTGGCTGATAAGGCCTGATAATAATTGGTCTTAAAAGTAGAAGTATCATGTATTCTTCTCCTTATTATTATTATATTACTTTTTGTTTGTTAAAACTAATATTTTGTCATTATTTGTCATCATGAATATAATTATTATGATTATCATTAAACTATTTCTATTTGGTCTATCTCCATTCTGTTTATCTTATATTTCTGCTTTGAATTCTTAGAAACGATCTCATCAAAAGGGATGTATTCCCTTCTAAGAAAACAGAAAATACAATGTATTCAATTCCGCGGTCCTTATGATTATTTGTACGGGGGTGCCGGGGGGCGGGGGCGGGGTTGTGTTTCTTACTTTTGTGAAACACCAGACGTGCGCAAATTCCGGTGTTTGATTTTTAAACAAGCTCCATGTAATTGGCATACATCTTATTCTAAAAAAAAATGTTCTTTTCACTTTTCTATTATTCGTTTTGGTTTAGGTGAACGACCTTGTCCAGCGTTGTGCAAATAAGACATCCGAACTGGAGAAGAACATTCAGAATGTGGAGGTACAACGAAATGAAGTATACACTGCCGTGCAGAGACTACTAGACGATGTCAATCAAGCCTACAGCATCAAGGCGAAAGAGCTTGAAAAAAATCATCGAAATCTCATCGAGCAGATCAATGCAGTGAAGCGGAGTTTCGATGACGATCTCAACGTCTTAAAATCCAACGATCGACAAAGGATCAAGAGTATTTGCAGTTTAATAACACTGGTAACTACTGACAGACTGGGTCGTCTTGAGCCAGACAGTGTGTCTGCTCATACCTTGCTCTGTGAGGAACTAGATGCCATGCTGAAGGAGGCTACTGATCACACTTCTGCGGCAGCCATTACGAATAAAGCACAGGAAAAGAGGTTCAAGTCTGCAGATGTTACTCGCATTGAACTCGGAAGCATTTCAGAATCAACTACTGACCACACTTCTGCTGCAGCCATTGGGATGACAGCACAAGAAAAGAGGTTCAAGCATGAAGATGATACTCGTCTTGAGCCCAGGAGCATCTCAGAATCAGCTACTGATCACACTCCTGCTGCAGCCATTAGCAAGAAAGCACAGGAGAAGAGGTTCAAGCATGAAGATGATACTCGTCTTGAGCCCGGGAGCATCTCAGAATCAGCTACTGATCACACTCCTGCTGCAGCCATTAGCAAGAAAGCACAGGAGAAGAGGTTCAAGCATGAAGATGATACTCGTCTTGAGCCCGGGAGCATCTCAGAATCAGCTACTGATCACACTTCTGCTGCAGCCATTGGGATGACAGCACAAGAGAAGAGGTTCAAGCCTGCAGATGTTACTTGTCTTGAAATCGGGAGCATCTCAGAATCAGATCCCAAGTTGCAATTAATGGAGTCTGTAAATCTTCGGGGACGGATGTCTGGTATGACCCCGTACTCTAAGGACAGTGTAGCTATCGGGTATAATATGGATGCACGTGGTATAGATATCATCGATTCAACTGGTTATCATGAGCAGTATGAAAACATAACACGTAACATGAAGTGCGTTGATCTTGTGTTTCAACAAGACGGGTCGGTATTCATATCGAATGGTAACAATAAAGCACACATATATGCTCCTGATAGATCCAAGAAATCAACCATACACGTAAAAGGCAACGAACTTAATCTCAAACTAAACAGAAGTTCAGCAGATGAAATCCTCATCGCGAACAGTGAGAAGAAAGTCTACATCTTAAACCCGACGGGATCTACTCTCAAACACACTGTTCCAACAAAACACGAGACGAGCCAGGTATCTGGCACCAGGTCGGGTTTGCTCGTCACGAGTTCATGTGATTTAACTAATCCAAGCGTGGTGACGGTCTATGACAGGGATGGGAATGCTGGTAAGTCCCTAAAGGCTCACCACCATGCCTGTGCTGCCGTGGATGAGCAGGACAGGGTGTATGTAGCGAGTTATGATCGGGGGATTAGGGCGACGGTGATTAGGCTCTATGACCTTGATGGTCTGAACCTCAAGGAGAGAGTTGTGTTCAAATGCAAGGGACTTAATCTGTCGACTGGTTATAGTTGGTGTTACTTGGTTTCTCTCTCACCAGACGTGCTCGCGTTTGCTTGTGACAAGAAGTTGTATTTTATCAAAGTATCACTGTAATCCATCTCACACTCTATATTACCATTATTTGTAGTGTATGCCTCTCTGCTCCAGTTCTTCCTTAATACGGGCCTATATTTCATATTATATTGTTTATTACGTGATAACTATTTAAACCGAATGAGAAGATGCCCATTCTCTCGATAGATTTTAATTACCGTATACAGTTGACATTATCCAGTATAATAATAACGCTCCTCTATCGAAATAGTATGCATCGAAGTAGATGCATACTATTTCGATAGAGGGGCGTTATTATTATATATGCTTTATGTAATCGTTTCTCTTAGATATTTACTGAAAAGGGGTGATATATGATACCATAATGTATAACTTGAAATTGGTAAGATATTAATTAATTCATTAGTGTTATTTCCATGATGTTGTTATTCTCAAAGTGTGTTTTGTTAATGTATTTGCTTATATTTCCTAACTTTTATATCGATTATTTTGTATTTTTTTAAAAATGAAGGACCACATTGTAAATGAATTTTCAGTTCTCACGGGTCATCTTGTGAAGTTATTGGTATTATTATTTTGTTTTCGTTTTATAATATCATTTTACTTTTCGCATGGATGTTACATTGAACGTGCCTTCACTATGAACATGACTGACAAAGAAAGCGGACAAAATATACAGTTCCTCAAGTAGACAAAGGAACATCCCTTCACTGCTAGTATGTAAAAATGTGTAGAACAGGTGTCACATGCATATTCACCTTTTTACATAATAACAGTGAAGGGATGTTCGTTTGTCTACATGAGGAACTGTATATTTTGTCCGCTTTCTTTGTCCGTCATGTGCATAGTGCTTACACATCAAATCAATTTTTTTTAAATCCTTAGTGAACCATGGTGTGACATTCCATTAAAATTCCCTTCGTATTCACCTTGCACTTTGTCTGAAAAGCCATCAAAATGAGTGCTCTGGGAACTGATAGTATGACAGATTAGTTTGCTATGGTGTAGAGAAGAGCAATGTACATGTATTAACAAATATTAGGCCTAGTTTACCAGTCGGAAGTTCTGTTTCCCGACAAAGCGTCCTAATATAAGGAATGTAAAAATATTATGATATCTTTGTAAACGTTTAATGCAATTCTGTTATAGTTAGTGATTTCACTTTGAATATTTCATGTAAATATTTTGTTGTATGCAAACATTATTGTTGATTGACACTGGATGAGTCCTTTGATGTTTGATAGAAAAAGACAAAGTAGAAAGAGAGAAATGGACGGAGATAGGAATAATAATAATAATAATAATAATAATAATAATATTTAATTTTTATATAGCGCTTAATACAAATGTCTCTAAGCGCTTTATACTTTTACCCCGGTCATTGTATTCAGTGGAGAAAGAGGGGGATGTAGTTGTAGTGTACTTGCTGTCTTTTACTCTTCCAAATATACCGTAGTAATGAAAGCAAATAAAATGTCTCGCTCTATTATCCAGGATGCTAACAAAGTGGATCTCCAACATAATACTACTGAAAGCCTGAATAAGTCGCCATCTATATAGAACCAATCCCGACCTTAGATTTTTTTTTCTTCAGTTTTGGTTGTGTCTAGAACTCTAGATAATGTACCTTCAACTTCTTCTTGATATAGTGTGGTGCATGGGTGACCCAATGTGATCGACTTGCATTCTCTTTACGGGGCCCAAACCCATAGGAAAATCTTCAGGATGAAGAAAAAATTGTAGATGGCATTGATGGTCTAAGTAACTTTGTTCGGTCAATTCTTATGGGAAAATGGGACGACTATTTCGGGACAGACTACTGTTCTGTACAACGTTTAGTTAAGTACCTTTAAAGGGAAATCCAATCTTTATATCAAAACACTCTAGAGAAAAGGAGAAAAATCGGAAAATAGACGGGGATTGTTTGAATGAAATCGTACAGAAATGAGAAACCTATGAATTTTCAAAGTTGTAATCTCTCTCTATATATGGGCTCTTCAAATTGGCTGAATCGGTAATGTTTCCGTGATGTATAGTGGCGGACAATTTTTCCGTTGTTCCAACACACAAACTGACTAAAATGTCTTCTTTTTTTCTTCTTCAAAAGATCATGACTCAGGACCTATACAATATGACACCCATAGTATATTTTGAGTAGTACCCCAAGAAGGCGCTCAGACAAAAAACAAAAATATAATGATATTCTTTTTACACGACAAACAGGAGATTTGTCAGGCACTACGTTACAATTATCTATATCTATTAATAGTTTGAACTCTTTAAAAGAAAGCTTAAATTATATCTTATTTCTAATAATCTTACATCGTAAAAACACTCACTTACTCCACAGTTCAAATTTGTTTAGGGTTGTGCGGTCTACATGTATGTTTTTGTTTTTGCTTATGTTCTACTTTGTTTTGTTTTGTTTTGTTGTTTTTATTATTGTTTATTCAAATACCATATATCATTTTGTATGATTCCTATACTAGTGTTTTTTCTGGTGGCTGTCCAGACAAACCCTGTAGGGTTTTTATACAGCAACCTAATTCCTATTTGTTTATTTTTACTGTCAATATTGTACTATGTTAATGATATTTATGTAAAAGTCATATTTTGATGTTACTGTTTTTTACTATGGAATTAAATAAATACTAAAAAAATAAAATACAAAATAAAATAAATAAAAAAATCCACTGACCAATCTGTCAATTTGAGATACAAATATAGACTTAGTGATCTCAAGTTTAAAACATTCGATTTGTTTTAAACTTTCTTTTACGCCATTCTTTTTATCTTTTTTTGTTCTGCTTTTATACAAATAAACTTATTACAAGTGTTGGATTGCCTTTAAACATATCAAAGTTCGTATTTTGACTTTTTCTCTTTCTCCACTTTTTTCTCAACTTAGAAAATAGTTATAGAAAGTATGTATGCGCTGTAAATGTAGCCTATATATTACATTAGCAAGTTTATTTTTCTTTGTATACTGACACAGTATTGTTGACATATACTGGTATATTTGTGGAAGTTCTAGATTATAGTTTACTTGTCTTATGTGATATTGCCATCTGTAAAATCAGTATCATGTTGTTATTACTATAAGCCTATATATCCAAATTAAAATCACAAGAATAGCACATTTTTCTGAGCATAACAAAGCCATTGATTATATTTGTTTAGTCGTTATTGAGGTGATGAAAGAAATCTCTAAATGGAGTGCAAGCTGACGAAGAATTCGGTAATATTAATCCTAACTAGGTTACACTTTGATCACATTTTGATGGCCATACGCTGTGAGATCTGTCATCATGTTTCTCAGTATGCAATGTTATCTCACACCGTATGGACAGCACGATGTCATCTCAGTTAGGTGACCATAATTATGCTGTAAGATCTCTTGCCATGTTTCTTAGCACTTTTAGTGAGCACTAATTTTTTTTTTCTCGAAAATTTGAAAAATCGCACCCCTCCCCCCCCTTGAGCGCCAGGGGGGGGCATCTCCATTAAAAGGTATCATTAACGTGTTTTTACACGTTTTCTTTCCCAAGGGGGGGGGGGGGGCCTTGATCCGCCACTGCTGGTTTTTTAGATTATCTCTTCCTCCTCTCTCTATCTTTCTCTATTCGTTCTCAGAATAAGATTTATTCTGTCTGTAACTTTTCCACCTCATACATGCTCTTTCCCTTTCTCTTTCTTATGAATTATCACTCGTCGTCTCGACCATTGACTTCTCTTTCCTTTCTCTCTCTCTCTCCCTCTCGAATACCCACCCTCTTTAGAAATTAATATGCTACACATGAAGAAAAATATAGAACTTGGGTTTAACTTTAGATATAATTATATAAGGACAGTTTAGTCAACTAACATTCAAGCAATGATGAAACAAAATAATGATCATACTAATTTCCCGGTTTTGCAGTTCACCTGTTTATGGTTTTGAATGAAAATAAATACTGCTTTATCTGTATTTTAAAAAGAAATGAAACTCAAATTTAAAAATAATTAAATGAATAAATAAGAAATAAATTTAAAAAGATACATTACTCATACACTACAGTGCGCCCCAGAAAAACGAAACCGAGAATTATCGATGTTTTATCATAACTTAATCACAATTATAATTAATAAATGACATATATTTGTAAAGCTTAGGTCCTCCTCTTTCATTTGATTCAACTGATACCATGCATATTTCCCACATGAGTGATTCAAAACAATTTGAAAAAAGGGTACCAACAAGTCATTTGGCGGACGGTATCTGAATTTTAAAGAGAAAATCACATTTCTATAGGAAGTGCAGTTTCTGCCCTTCCATATGACACCTCAATAAGGAAAAATGAGCTAGGAATAAATTAATGTTGTTTGTTTAAAGTAATGCTTGCATTTCCATAATTGCATTGAACGAAATCATTTTCACTGGCTGCCTGCCGTAGCAACAAACGGAATTTACAAAAGACTTAACTCCGTTTCGTTGAAGATCAGCCATAGGCGTATGACCTGATGCATATATCACTAGATTCACAAACATTTGTTTTAGACCGACTTGAACTGGAAATGAATGAATGACCGGCTCACAAAACTGATAAGAAAGAAAAAAAACAGTTACGAAGGTAATATGATCTCGTACTATATAACCCCCGGGGGTGGGGGTGGGGGAACCCATATATTAAGACATACAGGGATGTGCTGCTCTAATGGGTAACCTTTTCACACAAAAAATCCCTAAACATGGGTCCCACTTTTAACAAAAATACCATTAAAAATGGGTCCGTTTTTTCAAAATTTCCAACATTTGCATAATTGGCATAATGGCTGCCATGCTCACGTCATTTTTTCTCTTTGGCAATCTCGAAATTATTAAAATGTTTAAAAAAAAAGAGAAATCTGGCTAGAAATGGGCACAGAGTGTTTATGCCTGTGATGTCTATTTCCGCTCTCATTAAAATACGATAGTGGTAGGTCTCTTTACTTATTTACTACCCATTGGTCTCCTTGAATAAAAGCGCTTTGGAACTTTAATATCTAGGTTAAAAGTATACGACGAGTAGAAAATAAAAGAGAAACTAACGGGAAAGGGAATTAGAGGAGGGTTATGAGGAAAAATGCGTCCACCGTTGCCCCCTCCCTTCCACCGAAAGGAATTTAATTGTGCATTGAGCAAAATTTGTGCTCGTTGTGCTTCTTGACACCGCTCTGCACCAATAATACTAATGATGGTGGCTTCTATGTCGGGTAGTCATTTTCACACCTGAGTGGAGAGTGGCGAATGTGGATAAATTATGTCCTGCCAAAGGATATTAGTGCAGGACGAAGTTTCGAACCCTCAACCCTTGGATTGAAAGCCAAGTGAATGAACCATCTACACCACGACACCTTCATAACCAGTGGCGTAAGGAGCAAAAAAACAAAACCGACTTTTCCGTTTGGGGGCGACCGAACCCCCTGCCCCCCACCCCCCACGCACACACTTCAGGCCCCTATGGTTGTGACAGCTACTCTACCTGTCTTCATTTAAGGTATGAGTAAATATTTTCGCAAATTATGGTTTAAAAAATTGGGATTTGCAAAGATGATAAGACTTATATTTCTTGCCGGGCCGCGGTCCCCAATCCTGGAGATTAAACAAAATATATAAATATCCGATAGAGGTAAATGGGATTAGTCAAAGTTGCTTTCTGAAATCTTAGGTCTCCAATTCCTGGAAGTTGTATCACTATAATGGCGCTTGAAGAAAAATGTGTTGATGATTGGCTCATCAAAGTTAAACCCAGTTGTTAAGGAAGTCTTTTGAAATCATTCGACCAGCACCCCTCCCGGCCCCCCCCCCCCCTCCTCCCCCGTACTGTGCGAATGCCCGTTTGGTGACGAGGAGGAGGATGATGATGTTAATGATGATGCTGACTAGGATTATGAGGATCATCATAATGATTATCATGCTGATGAATGTCCACAGCGCTGCCCGCATATAGTTGGAATAATTTTTTTTTCCTCTTTCGTGAAATGTTTGTGATAACTGACAATTACTTAGTTTTAATATAGATAAACCTATAATTATATCAGGTTATACATCTTTTTTTTTTAATGTATAGATCAATCTCTATGATTCTTTAACTTGATCAAGAAGATATGAACTATATTAATCAAGATTCAAAAATAAATTATATAGTAACAATCATGGCATGAAAAGAGGTAATAAATTTTATTCCAACTTTATCGGTGATGATGATGAAAAAAAAAATATTCACAACGACGGTGATATGATATGAATGAATAATTAAACGAACAAACGAATGAACGAACGCACGAATAAATGAATAAATGAATGAATGATGAACCAAATTAATGAGTGAACGAAGGAATGACGAAATGAATGCATGGATATTATTATTATGATGATGATGATGATGATGACGATGATGAGATGATGATGATGATGACGACGACGACGACGACGATGATGATGATGATGATGATGATATGATGATGATGATGATGACGACGACGATGATGATGATGATGATGATGATGATGATGATGCCTTACGTGTACACACAACGCTGCAGCCTACGTGCAGATCATTAATTATAAGTCGCCCTCTATATAGATAAGAATGATGAATACTGCCAATAAGGTCAAAGGTGCTTATACGCTGCGCGCGCTCTCTGTGGAAAAACCCAATTCTATAAATAGGATGCACACACGGCATTATATTCACAGAAGATCTACCCAAGTGTGATTTTGCTATTATAAACTTATTGGTATTCCGGTACACATTTCAATAGACATTTTTTAATCAACGTGAGAAATTGGTACAGAACTGCCAGTGCATACAAATAGGACGCACTTGTTATACGGACTTAGGATATTGGTAGATCACGACAGCGTATAGTTTGAGCTTGCATGAACTTACTGTAGGCTAATAACTTCTAGTACACATTAGCTGATCACATTTTAAAGTTTTATTGGACATAAATTATTGGAAATAGGGGTAGAATGAACGCGTGTTTGTAATTAGCCAGAAATCCGTTATTTGTACCAATGGCTGAGAAGATTGAGGAAGAGAAAGCTCCAAGCGCTTCACATAACCTAACATGTCCACTATGTCTTGGTATCTTCGATGAGGCAACCATCCTGACTTCATGCGGACACACCTTCTGTCGGAAATGTCTCAAGAACTATGACCTGTCCCATCAGGATCTCGATCACATGACATGTCCTCTCTGCAGGGAGGTCACCAAGTTGTCTGCGAACCGTGTCGATGATTTCCTCACCAATGTGACTGTCAACGGACTCGTAGACGATTACAAGGCCAAGTGTGGAGGGGTGAATGCTGCCCTGGAGGTGCGTCCAAAATGCACTGCTTGCACGTCCCATCAAGATGCTGTCTCATTCTGCAGAACATGTAATAGATACATGTGTGATAAGTGTCTGGATTGTCATCAACATCTTAAAGTCGTTTTTAAAGGACATGAGATTGTATCCATACAGGATATCCTCGACGGGAAGGCCAGCATTGGTCACCTATATGAGAAGTGCTGCATCCACAAACAAGAGAACAAAGATATGTTTTGTGAGGATTGTAAAGTCCACGTCTGTCACAAGTGCGTGATAGTCAGTCATCAAAATCACAACATTAAGAATCAGGCTGACTTCGAGCAAGAGTTACGGCTAAAGGTAAGTGTGGCTTTCGGACATTTTTTTTTTAAAGCTCGCGTTTGGCTAATTAGGCCTGACCATAATTGGTCTTAAAAGTAGTATTATCATGTATGTGGCTTTCGGACATTTATTTTAAAAAAAACTCGCGTTTGGCTAATAAGACCTGACAATAATTGGTCTTAAAAGTAGGAGTATCATGTATTCTTTTTCTTCTTCTTCTTCTTATTATTATTATATCACTTTTTATTGTCACTAATATTTTAATCATTATTTTCATCATGATTATTATTATTATGATTATCATTATACTATTACTATTTGGTCTATCTCCATTCTGTTTATCTTATATTTCTGCTTTGACTTCATAGAACTTATGATTTTATCAAAAGGGTTGTATTCCCTTCTAAGAAAACAGGAAGAAAAAAACAATGTATTCAATTACGCGGTCCTTATGATTATGTGTACGGGGGTGCCGGGGGGCGGGGGGTCGTGTTTCTTACTTTTGTGAAACACCAGGCGCGCGCAAATTCCGGTGTTTGATTTTTAAACAAGCTCCATGTAATTGGCATACATCTCATTCTAATTCAAATATGTTCTTTTCGCTTTTCTATTATTCGTTTTGGTTTAGGTGAACGATCTTGTCCAGCGTTGCGCAAGTAAGAAATCAGAACTGGAGAAGAACATTCAGAATGTGGAAGTACAACGAAATGAAGTATACACTGCCGTGCAGAAACTACTGGACGATGTCAATCAAGCCTACAGCATCAAGGCCAAAGAGCTTGAAGAAAATCTTCGAAATCTCATCGAGCAGATCAATGCAGTAAAGCGGAGTTTCGATGATGATCTCAACGTCTTGAAATCCAACGATCGACAAAGGATCAAGAGTATTTGCAGTTCAATAACACTGGTAGCTAATGACAGACTGGGTCGTCTTGAGACAGACAGTGTGTCTGCTCATACCTTGCTCTGTGAGGAGCTGGATGCCATGCTGAAGGAGGCTACTGATCACACTTCTGCGGCAGCCATTGCGAAGAGAGCACAGGAGAAGAGGTTCAATTCTGCAGATGTTACTTCTCTTGAACTTGGGAGCATCTCAGAATTAGCTCTTAATCACAGTCCTGCTGCAGCCATTAACAAGAAAGCACAGGAGAAGAGGTTCAATTCTGCAGATGTTACTTCTCTTGAACTTAGGAGCATCTCAGAATCAGCTCTTGATCACACTCCTGCTGCAGCCATTAGCAAGACAGCACAAGAGAAGACGTTCAAGCATGAAGGTGATACTCGTATTGAACTCGGAAGCATCTCAGAATCAGCTACTGACCACACTTCTGCTGCAGCCATTGGGATGACAGCACAAGAGAAGAGGTTCAAGCCGGCAGATGTTTCTTGTCTTGAACTCGGGAGCATCTCAAACTCGGATCCCAAGTTGCAATTAATGGAGTCTGTAAATCTACGGGGACGGATGCGTTGTATGAGCCCGTTCTCTAAGGACAGTGTAGCTATCGGATATATGGATGCACATGGTATAGATATCATCGATTCAACTGGTTATCAGGAGCATTATGCAAACATAACAAGTAACGTGAAGCGCGTTGATCTTGTGTTTCAACAAGACGGGTCGGTATTCGCATCGACTGGTGATAACAAAGCAAACATATATGCCCCTAATGGATCCAGGAAATCAAGCATACACGTGAAAGGCAACGAACTGAATCTCAAACTAAACAGAAGTCCAGCAGATGAAATCCTCATCGCGAACAGTGAGAAGAAAGTCTATATCTTAGACCCGACGGGATCCACTCTCAAACACACTGTTCCAACAAAACACAATACAAGCCAGGTATCTGGTACCAGGTCGGGTTTGATCGTCACGAGTTCATGCTCCACCAAACCAAGCGTGGTGACGGTCTATGACAGGGATGGGAATGCTGGTAAGTCTCTACAAGCTGAATATAGTCATCTATTCCTATATGCTGCCGTGGATGAGCAGGACAGGGTGTATGTAGTGAGTGTTAATGAGTCTACCGGTTATTACGTGGCGATCAGGCTCTACGACCTTGATGGGCTGAACCTCAAGGAGAGAGTTGTGTTCAAATGCCAGGGACTTAAGCTGTCGACTGGTTATAGTTGGTGTTACTTGGTTTCCCTCTCACCAGACGTGCTCGCGTTTGCGATTGACAAGAAGTTGTATTTTATCAAAGTATCGCTGTAATCCATCTCACACTCTATATTACCATTATTTGTAGTGTGTATACCTCTCTGCTCCAGGCCTATATGTTTCATATTCGATTGTTTATTTGGTGATAACTAACCGAATGACAAGATGCCCATTCTCTCGATAAATTTTAATTGCCGGTAGACAGTTGGCATTATCCAATATAATAATAACGCCCCTATATCGAAATAATGTAAATACTGTACGTAATATCTATTTCATGCTTTGTGTAATCGTTTCTCTTAGAGATTTTCTGAAATCGTTTTTTTTTAATCATAACCCTTCTCTCTTTTTTTCTCTGAAGGAAATTTAAGAGGAAAACAAAATATTGTGGAAAAGAAATAAAATACTTTGAAATTTATGCGCAAACTGGTCGAGGAAATAGTACAAACTTTATTTACGATTTGTTTAAAATGTGAAAATATAATTTTGTTATATTTTTCATCTGTAAATGTGTAACGTTATTTGTAACCTTGTATGGGCATGTAAAAGTTCACTTGCATATTTATTTAGACCTATGTGAAGATTATTTTGTTATTTTGTATGCAATGTTATAAATTATGTACAATTTTCTTTATCAGAGAAATTATTAAAAACCTATGAAAAAAAGAAGGAAAAAAAAGAAGAAAAAAGGGGTGATTATGATATCATAATGTATAACTTGAAATTGGTAAGATATTAATTAATTTCATATTAGATTTATTCCCCTTATGTAGTTATTCTCAAAATACGTTTTGTTAATGTTTGTGCTTATATTTCTTGACTTGTAATGTGATCATTTAGTACTTTTAAATGAAGGACCACATTTTACATATTAGCAATTCAGCTTCCACGGGTCAACCAGTCAAGTTATTGGTATTATTATCCTGTTTTCATTTTATAATATTATTTTACTCTTCGCATGGATGTTACATTGAACTTGCTTAATACATCAAATCAATTTTTTAAAATAAATCCTTAGTGGACCATGGTGTGACATTCCATTAAAAATTCCTTCGTATTCAACTTGCACTCTTCTCTGAAAAGCCATGCAAATGAGTGCTCTAAGAACTGGGAACTGATAGTAACTATGACAGATTAGTTTGCTATGGTGTAGAGAAGAGCAATGTTCATGTATAAACAAAAATTAGGTCTAGTTTACTAGTCGGAAGTTCTATTTCTTGACCAATCGTCCTAATATAAGGAATGTACGAATATTATGATATCTTTGTAAACGTTTAATGCAATTCGGTTATAGTTAGTGATTTCACTTTGAATATTTCATGTAAATATTATGTTGTATGCAATCGGTATTGTTGATTGACACTGGATGAGTCCTTTGATGTTTGATAGAAAAAGACAAAGTGGAAAGAGAGAAATGGAAGGAGATAGGAATAATAATAATAATGTTTAATTTGTATATAGCGCTTAATACAAATGTCTCTAAGCGCTTTATAAATATACTATTACCCCGGTCATTGGATTCAGTGGAGAAAGAGGGGGATGTAAGTGTAGTATAGTTGCCGTCTTTTACTCTTCCAAATATACCGTAGTAATGAAAGCAAATAAAATGTCTCGCTCTATTTTCCAGGATGCTAATAAAGTGGATCTCCAACATAATACTACTGAAAGCCTGAATAAGTCGCCATCTATATAGAACCAATCCAATCCAATCCAATCCAATCCAAAAGACATTAGCGCCTTTTCCTTGCACTGACAAAGCCTTAGATTATTTTTTCTTTAGTTGTGGTTGTGTCTAGAACTCTAGATAATGTACCTACAACTTCTTCTCGACAGAGTTCGGTCCATGCGGTGACCCAATGTGATCGACTTGCATTCTCTTTACAGGGCCCAAACCAATAGGACAATGTTCAGGATGAAAAAAAAACACGTAGATGGCATTGACGGTCTAAGTTACTTTGTTCAGTCAATTCTTATGGGAAAATGGGACGACTATTTCGGGACAGACTACTGGCCCCAGTTCTGTTCTGTACAACGTTTAGTTAAGTACATTTAAAGAGAAATCCAATCTTTATATCAAAATACTATAGAGAAAAGAATACAAATCAGAAAAGTGGGCTGGGGAAAGTTTGAATGAAATCGTACAAAAATGAAAAAACCTATGAATTTTGAAAGTTGTAATCTCTATATAGATATGGGTTCTTCAATTTGGCTGAATCGGTAATGTCTCTGTGATGTTGTGTCGGACAACCTTCCGGTTTGTTCCAGCACACAAGTTGACTAAAATGTCTTCTTTTTTTCTTCTTCAAAAGATCATGACTGAGGACCTATACAATGTGACACCCATAATATATTTTGAGTAGTGCCTCAAGGGAGAAGGCATTCAGACAAAAAAACAGAAATATAATGATATTCTTTTTACACGACAAACAGGAGATTTGTCAGGCACTACGTCACAATAATTCACTAACCAATCTGTCACTTTGAGATATATAGACTAAGTGATCTCACATTTAGAACATTCGATTACAAAAAACAAAAACCATTCTTGGATTGTCCTTTACCGTATTTTGAATTTTTCTTTTTGTTCTCTTTTTTCATAACTTAGAAAATAATTATAAGTATCTATACGCTGTAAATGTAGCCTATATATTACATTAACATTTTTATTTTTATTTGTATACTGACACAGTATTGTTGACTTATACTGGATATATATGTGGAAGATCTAGATTATAGTTTACTTGTCTTATGTGATATTGCCATCTGTAAAATCAGTATCATGTTGTTATTACTGCATGTAAGCCTATATATCCAAATTAAAATCACAAGAATAGCACATTTTCTGAGCATAACAAAACTACTGATTATATTTGTTTAGTCGTTATTAAGGTGATGAAAGAAATCTCTAAATGGAGTGTAAGCTGACGAAGAATTTGGTAATATTGATCCTAACTAGGTTACACTCTGATCACATTTTGCTGTCCATACGATGTGAGATCTTTCATCATGTTTCTTAGTATGCCTTGTTATCTCACAATGTATGGACAGCATAATGTCATCTCAGTTAGGTGTCCATGTGCTGTAAGATCTGTCACCATGTTTCTCAGTATGCCATGTTATCTCACACTGTATGGACAGCACGATGTCATCTCAGTTAGGTGACCATAATTATTCTGTAAGATCTCTTGCCATGTTTCTTAGCACGTTTAGTGAACACTAATTATTTTTTTTCGAAAATTTGAAAAATCGCACCCCCTCCCCCTTGAGCGCCAGGGGGGGGGGGGGCATCTCCATTAAAAGGTAACATTAACGTGTTTTTACACGTTTTCTTTCGCCACTGCTGGTTTTTTAGATTATCTCTTCCTCCTCTCTCTATCTTTCTCTATTCGTTCTCAGAATAAGATTTATTCTGTCTGTAACTTTTCCCCCTCATACATGCTCGTTCCCTTTCTCTTTCTTATGAATTATCACTCGTCGTCTCGACCATTGACTACTCTTTCCTTTCTCTCTCTCTCTCTCTCTCGAATACCCACCCTCTTTAGAAATTAATATGCTACACATGAAGAAAAATATAGAACTTGGGTTTAACTGTAGATATAATTATATAAGGACAGTTTAGTCAACTAACATTCAAGCATTTATGAAACAAAATAATGATCATACTAATTTCCCGGTTTTGCAGTTCACCTGTTTATGGTTTTGAATGAAAATAAATACTGCTTTATCTGTATTTTAAGAAGAAATAAAACTCAAATTAAAAAAAAAAAATAATTGAATAAATAAGAAATAAATTTAAAAAGATACATTACTCATACTAAATACTCCATTACTCATACGTAATACATCAGTCGCACGAACGAGAGCAACACTACAGTGCGCCCCGGAAAAACGAAACCGAGAATTATCGATGTTTTATCATAACTTAATCACAATTATAATTAATAAATGACACATATTTGTAAAGCTTAGGTCCTCCTCTTTCATTTGATTTAACTGATATGATGCATATTTCACACATGAGTGATTCAAAACAATTTGAAAAAGGGTTACCAAAAAGTCATTTGGCGGACGGTATCTGAATTTTAAAGAGAAGATCACATTTCTATAGGAAGTGCAGTTTCTGCCCTTCCATATGACACCTCAATAAGGAAAAATGAGCTAGGAATAAATTAATGTTGTTTGTTTAAAGTAATGCTTGCACTTCCATAATTGCATTGAACGAATTCGTTTTCACTGGCTGCCTGCCGTATCAACAAACGGAATTTACAAAAGACTTAACTCCGTTTTGTTGAAGATCAGCCATAGACGTATGACCTGATGCATATATCACATATAGATTCACAAACATTTGTTTTAGACCGACTTGAACTGGAAATGAATGAATGACCGGCTCACAAAACTGATAAGAAAGAAAAAAACAGTTACGAAGGTAATATGATCTCGTACTATATAACCCCCGGAGGTGGGGGGGGGGGACCCACATATTAAGACATACAGGGATGTGCCGCTCTAATGGGTATCCGTTTCACCAAAAAAAATCCCTAAACATGGGTCCCACTTTTAACAAAAATACCATTAAAAATGGGTTCGTTTTTTCAAAATTTCCAACATTTGCATAATTTGCATAATGGCTGTCATGCTCACGTCATTTTTTCTCTTTGGCAATCTCGAAATTATTGAAACGTTAACAAAAAAAGAGAAATTTGGCTAGAAATGGGCACAGAGTGTTTATGCCTGTGATGTCTATTTCCGCTCTCATTAAAATACGATAGTGGTAGGTCTCTTTATTTATTTACTACGCATTAGTCTCCTTGAATAAAAGCGCTTTGGAACTTTAATATCTAGGTTGAAAGTATACGACGAGTAGAAAATAAAAGAGAAACTAACGTGGAAGGGAATTAGAGGAGGGTTATGAGGAAAAATGCGTCCACCGTTGCCCCCTCCCTTCCACCAAAAGGAATTAATTGTGCATTGAGCAAAATTTGTGGTCGTTGTGCTTCTTGACACCGCTCTGCACCAATAATACTAATGATGGTGGCTTCTATGTCGGGTAGTCATTTTCACACCTGAGTGGAGAGTGGCGAATGTGGATAAATTATGTCCTGCCAAAGGATATTAGTGCAGGACGAAGTTTCGAACCCTCAACCCTTGGATTGAAAGCCAAGTGAATGAACCATCTACACCACGACACCTTCATAACCAGTGGCGTAAGGGGCAAAAAAACACCGACTTTTCCGTTTGGGGGCGACCGAACCCCCTGCCCCCCACCCCCCCCCCCCCCCCACACACACACACACACTTCAGGCCCCTATGGTTGTGACAGCTACTCTACCTGTCTTCAATTAAGGTATGAGTAAATATTTTCGTAAATTATGGTTAAGAAAATTGGGATTTGCAAAGATGATCAGACTTATATTTCTTGCCGGGCCGCGGTCCCCAATCCTGGAGACTAAACAAAATATATAAATATCCGATTGAGGTAAATGGGATTAGTCAAAGTTGCTTTCTGAAATCTTAGGTCTCCAATTCCTGGAAGTTGTATCACAATAATGGCGCTTGAAGAAAAATGTGTTGATGGTTGGCTCACCAAAGTTAAACCCAGTTGTTGAGGAAGTCTTTTGAAATCATTCGACCAGCACTCCTCCCGGCTCCCCCCTCCTCCCCCGTACTGTGCGAATGCCCGTTTGGTGACGAGGAGGAGGATGATGATGTTAATGATGATGCTGACTAGGATTATGAGGATCATCATAATGATTATCATGCTGATGAATGTCCACAGCGCTGCCCGCATATAGTTGGAATATTTTTTTTTTCCTCTTTCGTGAAATGTTTGCGACAACTGACAATTACTTAGTTTTAATATAGATAAACCTATAATTATATCAGGTTATACATCTTTTTTTTTAATGTATAGATCAATCTCCATGATTCTTTAACTTGATCAAGAAGATATGAACTATATTAATCAAGATTCAAAAATAAATTATATAGTAACAATCATGGCATGAAAAGAGGTTAGACATTTTATTCCAACTTTATCGGTGATGATGATGAAAACAAAATATTCACAACGACGGTAATATGATATGAATGAATAATTAAACGAACAAACGAATGAACGAACGCACGAATAAATGAATAAATGAACGAATGATGAACACAATTGAGTGAACGAAGGAATGACGAAATGAATGCATGGATATTATGATGATGATGATGATGATGATGATGATCAGTGGCGTACCTGGGGTACTCCGTCAGGGGGGCAAGCGACCGAAACAAACAAAAAAGGCGATGCTAATTTTCACTTCTGGCGAGCGAGCGAGCAAAAAAAAATCTTTAAGTAACGTTTGGTATATAAACTGGTATTGTTGCAAGTTGGGGGTGGGAACATTCACTTGTTAGCGACGTTAATTTCATTTTTTTTGCAAAGGAGCGTAGCGAGCAAGAAAAAAAAAATCACTTCTTTTTTAATAATTGCCACTTAAACTTGGTACAGTTGTCCCATGCAGGGCGTGGGAACAATATTGTGTTTAAGGTGATTTTATACCCATTTTAGCTAGCGAGCCAAAATACATCTTTCTCTCAATGAATTGCTATATAAAATTCGTTTCATTATTGCAGGTCGGGGGCAGGCACAATCGTGTTTAAGGCAATGTCAATCCCATTTTGGCGGGCAGGCAACCCTCTACATTGTAGCAGGTTAGTGGTGGGCACATAATTCCATGAGCGAGCGTAGCGAGCGACCGAAAAAATCACTTCTCTTTTATAGGGAAAATATGGTACATAAGCTTGGGTTCATTGTTCCATGTCAGGGACGTGATTATTAAAAGCGGTGTTATTTCTATTTCGGCGAGCGAGCGTAGCGAGCGAGCAAAATTTTTGTAATGATAATTGGTTCATAAATTTCAGATTTTTTTTGTTGCAGGGCAGGGCTTACACAATCATGTCTAAGGTGATGTTAATTCCGTTTTGGCGATCACGAGCACACCAAAACTTCTTTGAATAACGTTTGGTACATAATTATTAACTGGTTGTTGCAGGTTGGGGCGGGCACGTTAGCGGTGTCAATTCCATTTTGGCGAGCGAGCATAGCGAGCAAGCAAAAAAAAATTCTCTTTTAATAGAAATTAATAAATAAACTTGTTTTTATTGGTGCAGGTCAGGATGGACGCAATCGCGTTTAACGCGATTCGATTCCTTTTTGGCGAGAGGGCGAAAAAACTCTTCCACTTTAATGATATTGTTGCAGGTCAAGGGTGGGCACAATTGTTTCCAAAGCAATATCTATTCATTTTATTCGCGAGCAAGTGTAGCGAGCGAGAAAAATGAATTACTCTCTTTTAGTAACATTTAGTACATACACTGGGTGTTATTGTTGCCATGGTTGCAGGTCGGGGCCCGTCGGGGCAGGCACAATAGTCTAGGCAATGCTAATCCTTTTCTGTTTTTCAGGGGGACGAGCAAGTGAAAACGTTTAATACAAAATAGGCTAGCAAGCAGTTCGCGCCAGCGAAGAGTTTCGAATTTGTTATATCACTTATATTTTCCTATTTTCATTTGTCTTAATTTTTCAGGGCCGTATGCGGAATATTTTTCTGGTGGGGGAGGGGGAAAGATGCGTTAAAAGTTTTCGAAAAATCTCAAAAGCAAAAGGAGTGAAGGGAGTTCGAGCGACCGAAATGGTCATGAGGGTACTTTTGCATTTTCAAAAGTAGAATTGAAGGATTTGGTATAGGCCTACACTACATTTTCAGGAAAAAAACTGTACGTTTTCAAAATATCTGGGGTCAACTGCCGCCCCCCCCCCCCCTGGTGCGTACGGCCCATGGTCTTTTTTTTTTTAATTTCCCCATTTTTTTTCCTTTCCTTTTCTTTTCCCTTTTTCTTCCTTTTCTCTTCTTCTTCCTTTTTTCTTTCCTTTTTCTTTTTTTCCTTTTTTCTCTTTTTTTCCTTTTTTTCTTCCCTTTTCTTTTTTCTTTTTCTTTCCTTTCCTTTCTTTTCTTTTCTTTCCCCTTTTTCTTTTTTCCCCTGGAGCCCGTCAGGGGGGCACTCTGCCCCCCCTGCCCCCCCCCATAGGTACGCCAGTGATGATGATGATGAGATGATGACGATGATGATGATGATTATGATGATGATGATGACTTGCCCGTTCACACAACGCTGCAGCCTACGTGCAGATCATAAATTTTAAGTCGCCCTCTATAGATAAAAAATGATGAATACTGCCAATTTTAAAGTTCAAAGGTGCTTATATACGCTGCGCGCGCTCTCTGTGGAAAAACCCACTTCTATTTATAGGATGCACAAACTGCATTGTATTCACAGAAGATCTACTCAAGTGTGATTCACTATTATAACCTTATTTGTATTCAGGTACACATTTCAACAGAGGATTAATACTTTTGATCAAAGTTAGGTGCACCTCTTTCGACAAATATTTTTAATCAACGTGAGAAAAAATTGCTACAGATCTGCATGCAGTTTGGACGCACTTGTTATAGACTCAGAATGTTGGTAGATCTACTACGTCACAGCTTATAGTTTGAGCTTGCATGAACTCACTGTAGGCTAATAACTTCTAATACACATTAGCTGATCACATTTTAAAGTTTTATCGGACATCAAGGGTATAACGAGCTCGTGTTTGTAACTAGCCAGAAATACGTTATTTGTACCAATGGCTGAGAAGATTGAGGAAAAGAAAGCTCCAAGCTTTTCACATAACCTAACATGTCCACTATGTCTTGGTATCTTCGACGAGGCGACCATCCTGACTTCATGCGGACACACCTTCTGTCGGAAATGTCTCAAGAACTATGACCTGTCCCATCAGGAACTTGATCACATGATATGTCCTCTCTGCAAGGAGGTCACTAAGTTGTCTGCGAACCGTGTCGATGATTTCCTCACCAATGTAACGGTCAACGGACTCGTAGACGATTACAACGCCAAGTGTGGAGGGGTGAATGCTGCCCTAGAGGTGCGTCCAAAATGCACCGCTTGCACATTCCATCAAGATGCTGTCTCATTCTGCAGAACATGTAATAATTACATGTGTGATAAGTGTCTGGATTGTCATCAACATCTTACAGTCGTCTTTAAGGGACATGAGATTGTATCCATGGAGGATATCATCAAGGGGAAGGTCAGCATTGGTCACCTATATGAGAAGTGCTGCATCCACAAACAAGAGAACAAAGATATGTTTTGTGAGGATTGTAAGGTCCACGTCTGTCACAAGTGCGTGATAGTCAGTCATCAAAATCACAACATCAAGAATCAGGCTGACTTCGAGCAAGAGTTACGGCTAAAGGTAAGTGTGGCTTTCGGACATTTTTTTTTTTTTTAAACTCGCGTTTGGCTAATAAGGCCTGACAATAATTGGTCTTAAAAGAAGTAGTATCATGTATTCTTCTTATTATTATTATATTACTTTTTTTTTGTTAAAACTAATATTTTAATCATTATTTTCATCATGAATATTATTATATGAATATGATTATCATTATACTATTTCTATTTGGTCTATCTCCATTCTGTTTATCTTATATTTCTGCTTTGAATTCATAGAAACGATCTCATCAAAAGGATTGTATTCCCTTCTAAGAAAACAGAAAAAAATCAATGTATTAAATTCCGCGGTCCTTATGATTATGTGTACGGGGGTGCCGGGGGGTGGTGGGGGTCATGTTTCTTGCTTTTGTGAAACACGCGCGCAAATTCCGGTGTTTGATTTTTAAACAAGCTCCGTGTAATTGGCATACATCTTATTCTAAAAAAAATGTTCCTTTCACTTTTCTATTATTCATTGTTTAGGTGAACGATCTTGTCCAGCGTTGTGCAAGTAAGAAATCAGAACTGGAGAAGAACATTCAGAATGTGGAAGTACAACGAAATAAAGTATACACTGCCGTGCAGAAACTACTGGACGATGTCAATCAAGCCTACAGCATCAAGGCCAAAGAGCTTGAAGAAAATCTTCGAAATCTCATCGAGCAGATCAATGCATTAAAGCAGAGTTTTGATGACGATCTCAACGTCTTGAAATCCAACGATCGACAAAGGATCAAGAGTATTTGCAGTTCAATAACACTGGTAGCTAATGACAGACTGGGTCGTCTCGAAACAGACAGTGTGTCTGCTCATAACTTGCTCTGTGAGGAGCTGGATGCCCTGCTCAAGGTGGCTACTGATCACACTTCTGCGGCAACCATTGCGAAGAAAGCACAGAAGAAGAGGTTCAATCCTGCAGACGTTACTTGTCTTGAAATCGGGAGCATCTCAGAATCAGCTCCTGATCACACTTCTGCGGCAGCCATTGCGAAGACAGCACAAGAGAAGAGGTTCAAGCCTGCAGACGTTACTTGTCTTGAAATCGGGAGCATCTCAAAATCAGATCCCAAGGTGCAATTAATGAAGTCTGTAAATCTACGGGAACTGATGTTTGGTATGACCCCGTACTCTAAGGACAGTGTAGCTATCGGATATATGGATGCATGTGGTATAGATATCATCGATTCAACTGGTTATCAGGAACTGTATGCAAACATAACAAGTAACATGAAGTGCGCTCATCTTGTGTTTCAACAAGACGGGTCGGTATGCATATCGACAGGTAACAACAAAGCACACGTATATGCTCCTAATGGAACCAGGAAATCAATCATACATGTGAAAGGCAAGGAACTTTATCTCAAACTAAGCAGAAGCCCATCAGATGAAATCCTCATCGCTAACGGTGGAAACCAAGTCTATATCTTAGACCCGACGGGATCCACTCTCAAACACACTGTTCCAACAAAACACAAGACGGGCCAGGTATCTGGCACCAGGTCGGGTTTGATCGTCACGAGTTCATGTAATTTAACCAGTTCAAGCGTGGTGACGGTCTATGACAGGAATGGGAATGCTGGTAAGTCTCTACAATCTCCAAATTGTGTCTACATGTATGCTACCGTGGATGAGCAGGACAGAGTGTATGTAGCGAGTGTTATAGATATTGGGAATAATTATTACATGGTGATCAGGCTCTACGACCTTGATGGTCTGAACTTCAAGGAGAGAGTTAAGTTCGATGCACTTAAACTGGAGACTGGTCATAGTTGGCGTTACTTGGTTTCCCTCTCACCAGACGTGCTCGCGTTTGCTAATGGCAAGATGTTGTATTTTATCAAAGTATCACCGTAATCCATCTCTCACTCTATATTACCATTATTTGTAGTGTGTATACCTCTCCGCTCCAGCGCTTCCTTAATACGGGCTTATGTTTCATAATCTATTGTTTATTATGTGATAACTAATCGAATGACAAGATGCCCATTCTCTCGATAAATTTTAATTGCCGGTATACAGTTGACATTATCCAATATAATAATAACGCCCCTCTATCGAAGTAGTATGTAAATACTATATGTAATATACATCTATTTCATGCTTTGTGTAATCGTTCCCTTAGAGATTTACTTTTTTCTTTCTCTGAAGGAAATTCAAGAGGAAAACAGAATATTGTGGAAAAGAAAAGAAATAATTTGAAATTTATACGCAAACTGGTTGATGAAATAGTACAAACTTTATTTGCGATTTGTTTAAAATGTGAAAATATAATTTTGTTTATGTGAATATCTTTCATCTGAATGTGTAATTTTATTTGTAACCTTGTGTGGGCATGTAAAAGTTCACTTGCATATTTATTTAGACCTATGTGAAGATTATTTTGTTATTTTGTATGCAATGTTATAAATGTACAATTATCTATATGAAATATGAGAGAAATTAAAAAATCCTATAAAAAAAGGGGGGGAAGAAAAAAGGAGGTGATTATGATATCATAATGTATAACTTGAAATTGGTAAGATATTAATTAAAAAAATAATTCCTTCGTATTCAACTTGCACTCTGTCTGAAAAGCCATCAAAATGAGTGCTCTGGGAACTGAGAGTAGGGCAGATTAGTTTGCTATGGTGTAGAGAAGAGCAATGTACATAATATATTATTAGCAAAAATTAGACCTAGTTTACCAGTCGGAAGTTCTGTTTCCAGACCAAACGTTCTAAGGAATGTAAAAAATATTATGATATCTTTGTAAACGTTTACTGCAATTCTGTTATAATTAGTGATTTCACTTTGAATATTTCATGTAAATATTTTGTTGTTTGCAAACGGTATTGTTGATTGACACTGGACGAGTCCTTTGATGTTTGATAGAAAAAGACAAAGCGGAAAGAGAGAAATGGACGGAGATAGGAATAATAATAATAATAATAATAATAATAATAATAATAATAATAATAATAATAATAATAATAATAATAATATTTAATGTTTATATAGCGCTTAATACAAATGTCTCTACGCGCTTATACTATTATTACCCCGGTCATTGGATTCAGTGGAGAAAGAGGGGGATGTAGTTGTAGTGTAGTTGCCGTCTTTTACTCTTCCAAATATACCGTAGTAATGAAAGCAAATAAAATATCTCGCTCTATTATCCAGGATGCTAATAAAGAGGATCTCCAACATAATACTACTGAAAGCCTGAATAAGTCGCCATCTATATAGAACCAATCCTGACCTTAGATTCCCTTTTCTTCAGTTGTGGTTGTGTCTAGAACTCTAGATAATGTACCAACTTCTTCTTGATATAGTGTGGTGCATGGGTGACCCAATGTGATCGACTTGCATTCTCTTTACGGGGCCCAAACCCATAGGAAAATCTTCAGGATGAAGAAAAAATTGTAGATGGCATTGATGGTCTAAGTAACTTTGTTCGGTCAATTCTTATGGGAAAATGGGACCACTATTTCGGGACAGACTACTGTTCTGTACAACGTTTAGTTAAGTACCTTTAAAGGGAAATCCAATCTTTATATCAAAACACTCTAGAGAAAAGGAGAAAAATCAGAAAAATAGACTGGGATTGTTTGAATGAAATCGTACAGAAATGAGAAACCTATGAATTTTCAAAGTTGTAATCTCTCTCTATATATGGGCTCTTCAAATTGGCTGAATCGGTAATGTTTCCGTGATGTATAGTGGCGGACAATTTTTCCGTTGTTCCAACACACAAACTGACTAAAATGTCTTCTTTTTTTCTTCTTCAAAAGATCATGACTCAGGACCTATACAATATGACACCCATAGTATATTTTGAGTAGTACCCCAAGAAGGCGCTCAGACAAAAAACAAAAATATAATGATATTCTTTTTACACGACAAACAGGAGATTTGTCAGGCACTACGTTACAATTATCTATATCTATTAATATTATAGTTTGAACTCTTTAAAAGAAAGCTTAAATTATATCTTATTTCTAATAATCTTACATCGTAAAAACACTCACTTACTCCACAGTTCAAATTTGTTTAGGGTTGTGCGGTCTGCATGTATGTTTTTGTTTTTGCTTATGTTTTACTTTGTTTTGTTTTGTTTTGTTGTTTTTTATTATTGTTTATTTAAATACCATATATCATTTTGTATGATTCCTATACTAGTTTTTTTTCTGGTGGCTGTCCAGACAAACCCTGTAGGGTTTTTATACAGCAACCTAATTCCTATTTGTTTATTTTTACTGTCAATATTGTACTATGTTAATGATATTTATGTAAAAGTCATATTTTGATGTTACTGTTTTTTACTATGGAATTAAATAAATACTAAAAAAATAAAATACAAAATAAAATAAATAAAAAAATCCACTGACCAATCTGTCAATTTGAGATACAAATATAGACTTAGTGATCTCAAGTTTAAAACATTCGATTTATTTAAACTTTCTTTTACGCCATTCTTTTTATCTTTTTTTGTTCTGCTTATATACAAATAAACTTATGACAAGTGTTGGATTGCCCTTAAACATATCAAAGTTCGTATTTTAAATTTTTCTCTTTCTCCACTTTTTTCTTAAATAGTTATAGAAAGTATGTATGCGCTGTAAATGTAGCCTATATATTACATTAGCAAGTTTATTTTTCTTTGTATACTGACACAGTATTGTTGACATATACTGGTATATTTGTGGAAGTTCTAGATTATAGTTTACTTGTCTTATGTGATATTGCCATCTGTAAAATCAGTATCATGTTGTTATTACTATAAGCCTATATATCCAAATTAAAATCACAAGAATAGCACATTTTTCTGAGCATAACAAAACTACTGATTATATTTGTTTAGTCGTTATTGAGGTGATGAAAGAAATCTCTAAATGGAGTGCAAGCTGACGAAGAATTCGGTAATATTAATCCTAACTAGGTTACACTTTGATCACATTTTGATGGCCATACGCTGTGAGATCTGTCATCATGTTTCTAAGTGCGCCATGTTATCTCACACTGTATGAACAGCACGATGTCATCTCAGTAAGGTGACCATAATTATGCTGTAAGATGTCTTGCCATGTTTCTTAGCACGTTTAGTGAGCACTAATTTTTTTTCGAAAATTTGAAAAATCGCACCCCCCCCCCCTTGAGCGCCAGGGAGGGGGGGGGGCATCTCCATTAAAAGATAACATTAACGTGTTTTTACACGTTTTCTTTCCCAGGGGGGGGGGGGGCTTGATCCGCCACTGCTGGTTTTTTAGATCATCTCTTCCTCCTCTCTCTATCTTTCTCTATTCGTTCTCAGAATAAGATTTATTCTGTCTGTAACTTTTCCCCCTCATACATCCTCTTTCCCTTTCTCTTTCTTATGAATTATCACTCGTCGTCTCGACCATTGACTACTCTTTCCTTTCTCTCTCTCTCTCTCTCTCTCTCGAATACCCACCCTCTTTAGAAATTAATATGCTACACATGAAGAAAAATATAGAACTTGGGTTTAACTGTAGATATAATTATATAAGGTTAGTCAACTAACATTCAAGCATTGATGAAACAAAATAATGATCATACTAATTTCCCGGTTTTGCAGTTCACCTGTTTATGGTTTTGAACGAAAATAAATACTGCTTTATCTGTATTTTAAAAAGAAATACAACTCAAATTTAAAAATAATTAAATGAATAAATAAGAAATAAATTTGAAATGATACATTACTCATGCTAAATACTCCATTACTGATACGTAATACATCAGTCGCACGAACGAGAGCAACACTACAGTGCGCCCCAGAAAAACGAAACCGAGAATTATCGATCATATTGCTCCGATTGTCTCATTTTCGCTCGCGTGAACATTGCCAGCACAAACCACTGACCTCTACCTCCTACACGGATCATCGCACATTCCCATTCACTATACGTTACGTACTAAAAGGCTGTATTGTCTGACCGTTCATGAATATTCATGTTTTTGCTAAACTCGGCAAAATATTTGCTTTTACTAAATGGAAAAATTACGGTGGGGGGTTGGATGAAATGGACAAAACGAAATAGGCAGAAGTGATCTATGATAATTCATGCTTTTTATGTTTCGTGTGCTCGACCTATAATCTTCAAAGCGCTTGGTAAACTGAGTCCAAAGTTAGACTTGTTTCACATGTGTATTATAGGCAATGACGAGCTTGCAACCTATTTTGAAAAATTACGGTGGGTGAACTTTCAAAAGTCAATGAGTCATGAGGGCTCCAATGAAAGAGCTAGTGATAACGTACGTCGGGGTGGATGTGCTTTTCGTTTAAACAAAAAATGAATTTTTAACGATTTTTTTTTTTTAAAACGTCCATAGGCTAACATGTTAGGCTGCTGAATCTGACCATGCTCTGACGATAGGGGGCGTTGTGAAATGAGACTAAACGGAGCCATATGGTTTTATCATAACTTAATCACAATTATAATTAATAAATGACACATAATAAAGCTTAGGTCCTCCTCTTTCATCTGATATGATGCATATTTCACACATGAGTGATTCAAAACAATTTGAAAAAAGGGTACCAAAAAGTCATTTGGCGGACGGTATCTGAATTTTAAAGAGAAAATCACATTTCTAGGAAGTTCAGTTTTTGCCCTTCCATACGACACCTCAAAAAGGAAAAATGAGCTAGGAATAAATTAATGTTGTTTGTTTAAAGTAATGCTTGCATTTCCATAATTGCATTAAACGAATTCGTTGTCACTGGCTGCCTGCCGTAGCAACAAACGGAATTTACAAAAGACTTAACTCCGTTTCGTTGAAGATCAGCCATAGACGTAAGACCTGACGCATATATCACATATAGATTCACAAACATTTGTTTTAGACCGACTTGAACTGGAAATGAATGAATGACCGGCTCACAAAACAGATAAGAAAAAGAAAAAAAAAAACAGTTACGAAAGTAATATGATCTCGTAATATATAACCCCCGGGGTTGGGGGGGGGACCCACATATTAAGACATACGGGGATGTGCCGCTCTAATGGGTAACCTTTTCACAAAAAATCCCTAAACATGGGTCCCACTTTCAGCAAAAATACCATTAAAAATGGGTCCGTTTTTTTAAAAATTTCCAACATTTGCATAATTTGCATAATGGCTGCCATGCTCACGTCATTTTTTCTCTTTGGCAATCTCGAAATTATTGAGACGTTAAAAAAAAGAGAAATCTGGCTACAAATGGGCACAGAGTGTTTATGCCTGTGATGTCTATTTCCGCTCTCATTAAAATTCGATAGTGGTAGGTCTCGTTACTTATTTACTACCCATTAGTCTCCTTGAATAAAAGCGCTTTGGAACTTTAATATCTAGGTTGAAACGAGTACAATCTTTTTGGTTGAAAGTATAAGACGAGTAGAAAATAAAAGAGAAACTAACGGGGAAGGGAATTAGAGGAGGGTTATGAGGAAAAATGCGTCCACCGTTGCCCCCTCCCTTCCACCAAAAGGAATTTAATTGTGCATTGAGCAAAATTTGTGGTCGTTGTGCTTCTTGACACCGCTCTGCACCAATAATACTAATGATGGTGGCTTCTATGTCGGGTAGTCATTTTCACACCTGAGTGGAGAGTGGCGAATGTGGATAAATTATGTCCTGCCAAAGGATATTAGTGCAGGACGAAGTTTCGAACCCTCAACCCTTGGATTGAAAGCCAAGTGAATGAACCATCTACACCACGACACCTTCATAACCAGTGGCGTAAGGGGCCCAAAAACACCGACTTTTCCGTTTGGGGGCGACCGAACCCCCTGCCCCCCACCCCCCCCCCCCACACACACACACACTTCAGGCCCCTATGGTTGTGACAGCTACTCTACCTGTCTTCAATCAAGGTATGAGTAAATATTTTCGCAAATTATGGTTAAAAAAATTGTGATTTGCAAAGATGATAAGACTTATATTTCTTGCCGGGCCGCGGTCCCCAATCCTGGAGATTAAACAAAATATATAAATATCCGATAGAGGTAAATGGGATTAGTCAAAGTTGCTTTCTGAAATCTTAGGTCTCCAATTCCTGGAAGTTGTATCACAATAATGGCGTTTGAAGAAAAATGTGTTGATGGTTGGCTCATCAAAGTTAAAGATAAACTTGAGTTCTGGTAAAAAAAAGAAAATAAATTCTCACAGAATCAAACGAAACTTACACTGAATATTCAAGATTACAAATAAATGTCATTTGCCAAACAATTTTGGAAGAAAATGTATAATGGCTGAGTAATGAGCATAGAAAGATAAGGAAATCAAGGTGTCGGGCCCCGACACCCTTTTGTGTAGTCACATATACATATTTCTGTGTACAGTGCTTGTTACTTTACAAAGACTGGGCCAAATTTATTATGATTTTGATGACTCCAGAACCTTGCAGTACACACCAATACTTAAATGCTACATGATCAACTTTTTCTGATCCATACCACACCTTTTCTTGCACAGTTATTGTGGAAGTCTTTTGAAATCATTCGATCAGTACCCCCCCCCCCCCCTCCTCCCCGTACTGTGCGAATGCCCGTTTGGTGACGAGGAGGAGGATGATGATGTTAATGATGATGCTGACTAGGATTATGAGGATCATCATGATGATTATCATGCTGATGAGTGTCCACAGCGCTGCCCGCATATAGTTGGAATAATTTTGTTTTCCTCTTTCGTGAAATGTTTGTGACAACTGACAATTACTTAGTTTTAATATAGATAAACCTATAATTATATCAGGTTATACATCTTTTTTTTTAATGTATAGATCAATCTCTATGATTCTTTAACTTGATCAAGAAGATATGAACTATATTAATCAAGATTCATAAATAAATTATATAGTAACAATCATGGCATGAAAAGAGGTTAGACATTTTATTCCAACTTTATCGGTGATGATGATGAAAACAAAATATTCACAACGACGGTGATATGATATGAATGAATAATTAAACGAACAAACGAATGAACGAACGCACGAATAAATGAATAAATGAACGAATGATGAACACAATTATTGAGTGAACGAAGGAATGAAGAAATGAATGCATGGATATTATGATGATGATGATGATGAGATGATGATGATGATGATGATGATGATGATGATTATGATGATGATGATGACTTGCCCGTTCACACAACGCTGCAGCCTACGTGCAGATCATAAATTTTAAGTCGCCCTCTATAGATAAAAAATGATGAATACTGCCAATTTTAAAGTTCAGAGGTGCTTATATACGCTGCGCGCGCTCTCTGTGGAAACACCCACTTCTATTTATAGGATGCACAAATTGCATTGTATTCACAGAAGATCTACTCAAGTGTGATTCACTATTATAACCTTATTTGTATTCAGGTACACATTTCAACAGAGGATTAATACTTTTGATCAAAGTTAGGTGCACCTCTTTCGACAAATATTTTTAATCAACGTGAGAAATAATTGCTACAGATCTGCATGCAGTTTGGACGCACGTGTTATAGACTCAGAATGTTGGTAGATCTACTACGTCACAGCTTATAGTTTGAGCTTGCATAAACTTACTGTATAGGCTAATAACTTCTAGTGTCATTAGCTGATCACATTTTAAAGTTTTATCGGACATCAATTATTGGATAAACGATAGAACGAGCTCGTGTTTGTGATTAGCCAAAAATACGACATTTGTACCAATTAAATGGCTGCGAAGATGGAGGAAGAGAAAGCTCCAAGCTCTTCACACTCACATAACCTAATATGTCCACTATGCCTTGGTATCTTCGACGAGGCAACCATCCTGACTTCATGCGGACACACCTTCTGTCGGAAATGTCTCAAGAACTATGACCTGTCCCATCAGGAACTTGATCACATGATATGTCCTCTCTGCAGGGAGGTCACCAAGTTGTCTGCGAACCGTGTCGATAATTTCCTCACCAATGTGACTGTCAACGGACTTGTAGACAATTACCACGCCAAGTGTCGAGGGGTGAATGCTGCCCTGGAGGTGCGTCCAAAATGCACTGCTTGCAAGTTCCATCAAAATGCTGTCTCATTCTGCAGAACATGTAATAATTATATGTGTGATAAGTGTCTGGATTGTCATCAACATCTCAAAGTCGTCTTTGAAGGTCATGAGATTGTATCCATGGAGGATATCATCAAGGGGAAGGTCAGCATTGGTCACCTTTCTGAGAAGTGCTGCATCCACAAACAAGAGAACAAAGATATGTTTTGTGAGGATTGTAAGGTCCACGTCTGTCACAAGTGCGTGATAGTCAGTCATTAAAATCACAACATCAAGAATCAGGCTGACTTCGAACAAGAGTTACGGCTAAAGGTAAGTGTGGCTTTCGGACATTTTTTTTTTTTTTTTAAACTCGCGTTTGGCTAATAAAGCCTGACCATAATTGGTCTTAAAAGTAGTAGTATCATGTATGTGGCTTTCGGACATTTTTTTTTTAAACTCGCGTTTGGCTAATATAGGCCTGACAATAATTGGTTTTAAAAGTAGTAGTATCATTATTCTAATTATTATTATACTTTTTATTGTTTGAACTAATATTCTAATCATTATTTTCATAACGAATATCATTATTAAGATTATCAATATACTATTACTATTTGGCCTATTTGTCCATTCTGATTTGCTTATATTTCTGCTTTCATAGAAATGAATTTATCAAAAGGGTTGTATTCCCTTCTAAGAAAACAGAAAAAACCAATGTGTTAAAGTCCGCGGTCCATATGATTATGTGTACGGGGGTGCCGGGGAGGGGGTGGGGGGTCGTGTTTCTTACTTTTGTGAAACACTCGACGCGCGCAAATGCCGGTGTTTGATTTTTAAACAAGCTCCATGTAATTGCCATACATCTAATTCTAAAAATATGTTCTTGTCACTTTTCTATTATTCGTTTTGGTTTAGGTGAACGACCTTGTCCAGCGTTGTGCAAGTAAAAAATCAGAACTGGAGAAGAACATTCAGAATGTGGAGGTACAACGAAATGAAGTATACATTGCCGTGCAGAAACTACTGGACGATGTCAGTCAAACCTACAGCATCAAGGCCAAAGAACTTGAAGAAAATCTTCGAAATCTCATCGAGCAGATCAATGCATTAAAGCAGAGTTTTGATGACGATCTCAACGTCTTAAAATCCAACGATCGTCAAAGGATCAAGAGTATTTGCAGTTCAATAACACTGGTAGCTAATGACAGACTGGGTCATCTTGAGCCAGACAGTGTGTCTGCTCATACCTTGCTATGTGATAAGCTGGATGCCATGCTGAAGGAGGCTACTGATCACACTTCTGCGGTAGCCATTGCAAAGAAAGCACAGGAGAAGAGGTTCAAGTCTGCAGATGTTACTTGCCTTGAACTCGGAAGCATCTCAGAATCAGCTACTGATCACACTTCTGCTGCAGCCATTAGCAAGAAAGCACAGGAAAAGAGATTCAAGCATGAAGATGATATTCGTATTGAACTCGGAAGCATCTCAGAATCAGCTACTGACCACACTTCTGCTGCAGCCAGGAAGACAGCACAAGAGAAGAGGTTCAAGTCTGTAGATGATACTAATTGTCTTGAACTCGGGAGCAACTCAGAATCATATCCCCAGTTGCAAGTCATGGAGTCTGTAAATCTTCGGGGACGGATGTCTGGTATGATCCCGTACTCTAAGGACAGTGTAGCTATCGGATATATTGATGTACGTGGTATCATCGATATCATCGATTCAACTGGTTATCAGGAGCAGTATGAAAACATAACAAGTAACATGAAGTGCGTTGATCTTGTGTTTCAACAAGACGGGTCGGTATTCATATCGACTGGTAACAATAAGGCACACATATATGCTCCTGATGGATCCAGGAAATCAACCATACACGTAAAAGGCAACGAACTTAATCTCAAACTAAACAGAAGTCCATCAGATGAAATCCTCATCGCGAACAGTGAGAAGAAAGTCTATATCTTAAACCCGACGGGATCCACTCTCAAACACACTGTTCCAACAAAATACAAGACGAGCCAAGTATCTGGCACCAGTTCGGGTTTGATCGTCACGACAAGTTTATGTGATTTAACTAATTTAAGCGTGGTGACGGTCTATGACAGGAATGGGAATGCTGGTAAGTCTCTACAAGCTCCAGAAAAGTATGTCTACCTGCATGCTGCCGTGGATGAGCAGGACAGGGTGTATGTAGCGCATGGAATTAATAATAGTCAGAGTTATCATCAGTACAACTACTTGCAAATCAGGATCTACGACCTTGATGGTCTGAACCTCAAGGAGAGAGTTGAGTTCGGTGCACGTGATCTGCGTATTGATATTACACCACGTAGATGGGGTGATTACTTGGTTTCTCTCTCACCAGACGTGCTCGCGTTTGCTTGTGACAAGAAGTTGTATTTTATCAAAGTATCACTGTAATGCATCTCTCACTCTGTATACCATTGTGTAGTGTATACCTCTCCGCTCCAGCCCTTCCTTAATACGGGCTTATGTTTCATAATCTATCGTTTATTATGTGATAACTAACCGAATGAGAAGACGCCCATTCTCTCGATAAATTTTAATTGCCGGTATACAGTTGACATTATCCAATGTAATAATAACACCCCTCTATCGAAATAGTATGTAAATACTATGCGTAATATGCATCTATTTCATGCTTTGTGTAATCGTTTCTCTTAGAGATTTACTGAAATCATTTTTTTTTTTTTAATCATAACCCTTTTTTTTCTCTGAAGGAAATTTAAGAGGAAAACAAAATATTGTGGATAAGAAAAGAAATAATTTGAAATTTATACGCAAACTGGTCGATGAAATAGTACAAACTTTATTTGCGATTTGTTTAAAATATGAAAATATAATATTTTTCATCTGTAAATGTGTAACTTTATTTGTAACTTTGTATGGGCATGTAAAAGTTCACTTGCATATTTATTTAGACCTATGTGAAGATTATTTTGTTATTTTGTATGCAATGTTATAAAATATGTACAATTTTCTTTATGAGAGAAATTAATAAAAACCTATGAAAAAAAGAAGGAAAAAAAAGAAGAAAAAAGGGGTGATTATGATATCATAATGCATAACTTGAAATTGGTAAGATATTAATTAATTTCATATTAGTTTTATTTCCCTTATGTTGTTATTCTCAAAATATATTTTTTGTTAATGTTTGTGTTTATATTTCTTGACTTGTATTGTGATTATTTAGTACTTTTAAATTAAAGGCCACATTTTACATAAGCATTTCAGCTTCCACGGGTCAACGGTTCCGTCAACCTGTCAAGTTATGGTATTATTATCTTGTTTTCATTTTACAATATCATTTTACTCTTCGCAGGGATGTTACATTGAACTTGCCTAATAGTATACATCAAATCAATTTGTTTTAAATCCTTTGTGGACCATTTCATTAAAAAGTTTCTTCGTTTTCACCTTGCACTTTGTCTGAAAAGCCATCAAAATGAGTGCTTTGGGAACTGATAGTATGGCAGATTAGTTTGCTACGGTGTAGAGAAGAAAAACGTACATGTATTAACAAATATTAGGCCTAGTTTACCAGTCGCGAGTTCTGTTTCCAGACCAAACGTCCAAAGGCATTTTAAAATACTATGATATCTTTGTAAACGTTTAATGCAATTCTGTTATGATTAGTGATTTCACTTTGAATATTTCATGTAAATATTTTGTTGTATGCAAACGGTATTGGTGATTGACACTGGATGAGTCCTTTGATGTTTGATAGAAAAAGACAAAGCGTAAAGAGAGAAATGAACGGAGATAGGAAGAATAGTGGAGAAAGAGGGGGATCGTTTACTCTTCCAAATATACCGTAGTAATGAAAGCAAATAAAATGTCTCGCTCTATTATCAGGGATGCTAATCAAGTGGATCTCCAACATAATACTACTGAAAGCCTAAATAAGTCACCATCTATATAGAACCAATCCCGACCTTATTCTTTTTTCTTCAGTTGTGGAGTTTTGGTTGTGTCTAGAACTCTAGATAATGTACCTGCAACTTCTTCTCGACAGAGTTTGGTGCATGGGCATGCGGTGACCCAATGTGATCGACTTGCATTCCCATTACGGGGCCCAATCCCATAAGTCAATGTTCAGGATGAAAAACAAAATCGTAGATGGCATTGATGGTTAAGTAACTTTGTTCAGTCAATTCTTGTGGGAAAATGGGACTACTATTTCGAGACATACTGGCCCTGCACTGTTCTGTACAACGTTTAGTTAAGTACCTGTAAAGGGAAATCCAATCTTTATATCAAAACACTCTAGAGAAAAGAAGAAAAATCAGAAATGTAGACTGGTGAAAGTTTGAATGAAATCGTACACAAAATGAGAAACCTATTAATTTGGAAAGTTGTAATTGCTCTATATATTATACGGGCTCTTCAAATTGGCTGAATCGGTAATGTCTCTGTGATGTAGTGGTGGACAACTTTCCGGTTTGTTCCAACACACAATTTAATAAAATGTCTTTTTTCTTTTCTTCAAAAGATATTGACTCAGGACGGTATATTATCTTAAGAGGACCTATTACAATATATGCCATACATAAAGAATATTTGAGTAGTACCCCAAGAAGGCGCTCAGACAAAAACAGAAATATATATGATATTCTTTTTACACGACAAACAGGAGATTTGTCAGGCACTACGTCACAATAATTCACTGACCAATCTGTCAATTTGAGATACATAATTATATAGACTTAGTGATCTCACATTTAAAACATTCGATTAGTTTTAAACTTTCGCCATTCTTTTTATCTTATTTTTCTGCTTTCATACAAATAAACCAAATGTAGGATTGCCCTTAAACATATCAAAGTTCGTATTTGGAATTTTTCTCTTTCTCCACTCTTTTCTTGACTTAGAATATAGTTATAGAAAGTATTTATACGCTGTAAATGTAGCCTATATATTTCATTAACATGTTTATTTCTCTTTGTATACACAGTATTGTTGACATATACTTGATATTTTTGTGGAAGATCTAGATTATAGCTTACTTGTCTTATGTGATATTGTCATCTGTAAAATAAGTATCATGTTGTTTTTACTGTAAGCCGATATATCGAAATTAAAGTCACAAGAATAGCACATTTTCTGAGCATAACAAAACTACTGATTATATTTGTTTAGTCGTTATTGAGGTGATGAAAGAAATCTCTAAATGGAGTGCAAGCTGACGAAGAATTTGGTAATATTGATCCTAACTATAGGTTACACTTTGATCACATTTTGCTGGCCTTACGCTGTAAGATCTCTTACCATGTTTTTTAGCATGTCATGTTATCTCACACTGTATGGAGAACAATAATTATGTCATCGTAGTTAGGTGTCCAAAACTTTAGATAAAACCACCGCGTCATATATGAACGCTACGATCGGACACGAACGATTATAACAAAAATGCAAAATACACGGTGAACTATACTATTCTTGTCGATGGCACTGGCGCTGTTTGAGTCCATAGTCGACATCAAGGCGAATATTCTGACGAGCAAAGCGAGCCAGAAAGTCGAAGTCTCGGCTTCCTGGCTCGCTTCCCCTCGATGTCGAAGACGGACTGCAACAGCGCCAGGGCCATCGACAATAGACTAGGTACACTACGGACCAACGAACATTCTCTCCGATGTTAATCTTTCTCTTTTGTCTATGCCCGTTGCTATTAGGCCTATACGTGCATCGAAGCTCCCTTAGGCAACACAGTTCTGAAACTGACTCATCTCACCAATAACTTTCGCTCGGCAAAGATGTGATGGTCTTACATCTCGGAAAAGAAGTCGAAAGTCATGGCAGGATCGGCCAAAGATCCAAAACAAATCCAAGTGAACGGTACCAAAATGGAGCAAGTAGAGAAGTATATTTACTTAGGGCAACGTTTCTCTCCACAAGACAAAAATCAAGATAACAAAATAAGAAGAAGGATCAAAGCTGGATGGCAAGCCTTCGGTAGATACAGCACCATCATAAAAGGCAAACTTCCATTATGCCTGAAAAAGAAAGTATATAACCAGTGCATCATCCCAGCAATCTCATATGCTGCAGAAACATGGACACTAACATCAAAAATGGAAAGAAAGCTAGCAGCATCTCAACACACGTGGACAGAAGTATTCTAAGCATCACATACAAAGACAGAAAAACTAACAAATGGATCAGGAAACAGACAAAAGTCCAAGACATCCTTGAAACAGTGAAAAGAAGGAAATGGAATTGGGCGGGCCACATCATCCATAGGAATGAAAATCGCTGGAGCTCAACAATCACTCACTGGACACCATATGAGGGAAAACGAAACAGGGGACGTCGAAGAATAATATGGCGAGACGAGCTGCAACAGTTCTGGGGACAGAAAAATTGGCACCAACAGGCGCTGACGGAGGCATTTGGAAACATCATGCTGAGGCCTTCATCCTGCAGTGGATTGAAAATGGCTGAAAAAGAAAAAAGAAGACGTTGTAAGATCTCTTGCCATGTTTCTAAGCATGTCACGTTATCTCACACTGTATGGACAACAAGGCTTCATCGTAGTTTTTCAACTAGTCCATGAATCCAGAACCAGAGGCCACAGTATGAAAGTATAAAAGTAAGGAAGCCAAAGTGTAAATCTGTGCTTCGTCAAAATTCCTTCTCTGTGCGAAGTTGCAACAGCTGGAATTCCTTACCAGACTCAGCAGTCAGAGCAACAACTGTAAATCAGTTCAAATCCATCCTTGGGAAATATTGGTAATAATTACAGTGCTTATATAGAGGCTAACACTTACTTTGTCAGAAGTTTCTAAGCGCTCTACAATAATGCAGCATAATTACCCTGGCTTTAGCAGTGCAGCTGTTACGCGCGCTGCGTTTCAAGGAATAAATTCCTACCAGGTACCCATTTACTTCACCTGGGTGGAGTGTGGCAAATGTAGATCAATGTCTTGCCAAAGGACATTAGTGCAGCGATGGGACTCGAACCGCGGACCTTGTGATCGACAGTCCGGCGACGTATTCACTCGACCACAACACCTCTACTGTGGTACAGCCACCCCCTTAAGTTCAGTCCATACCAGAGAGATAGCATTACCTGGAGGGGCAAATAAGTTTACCTTTACGCTTCAACATCAAAGTAAACATCAAAGTAAGTAGTTAGGTGTCCCTACCTTGTAAGATCTCTTGCCATGTTTCTTAGCATGTCATCCTATCTCAAACTGTATGGACAACAAGCATCATCGCAGTTAGGTGTCCATACGTTGTAAGATCTCTTGCCATGTTTCTAAGCATGTCTTGCTATCTCACACTGTATGGACAACAAGACGTCATCGCAGTTAGGTGTCCATACGTTGTAAGATCTCTTGCCATCTTTTTAAGCATGCCATGTTATCTCACACTGTATGGACAACACGATGTCATCATAGTTGTCCAAAACACTAGATAAAACCACCGCGTCATATCTGGTCGCTACGATCGGACACGAACGATTATAACACAAATGCAAAATACACGATGCATTGTACTAGCCTTTTGTCGATGGCCCTGGCGCTGTTGGAGTTAATAGTCGACATCGAGGCGAAAATTCTGACGAGCAAATTAAAGCGAGCAAGAAGGTCGAAGCCTCGGCTTCCTGGCTCGATGTCAACTACAGACTCCAATAGCGCCAGGGCCATCGACAAGAGACTAAAGGTACACTACGGACCAACGAACATTCTCTCCCGATGTAAATCTTTCTATTTTGTCTATGCCCGTTGATATTAGGCCTATACGTGCATCGAAGCTCCATCTTTTTCTAACATCTTATAGGCGACACAGTCCTCAAACTGAATCATCTCACCAAAATCCTTCGCTCGGCAAAGATGTGATGGTCTTACATCTCGGAAAAGCTGGAATAACATTGATCAATCTAAACGAGTCTTATAATGGTTGGGGAAAAAATACATAGAGAAATGACTTTCACAAACTAAGAATTAGAAGAATGCGATATGCCAAATTGTGACATGGTAATAAAGCCCTGTCGCCCGATCCTTTGATTTTACACAGAAAACGAGCTGAAAATAACAGTAAATTTACTTCAGGTACTATGTCCCATTTGCAGGCTAAAAAATGAAAAAGTTAAATTCCAACTGCATTTGAAAGATAATACTAATTTAGAACTTCCCTAAAAAAGGTGGGGCTTGAAAATGCCTTCAAGTGGGAAACTAACGACTATTAGTTGTCAAATCGACTTTAGGGCTATAGAGCCCAAAAGTAATAGTCTTGATTTTCAGACAATTGTACCGAATGGTCATACGTTTTATGCTGCGCAAAGATTCAATCAGTTTAATCTTGGCCATTTCTTTTCATGTATGTTATTACCGAAGAAGAAAAAAAAGCCAGTCAGTCACTCAATAGTGTCTGACAGTGAAGTCTAGCAAGTAAACGGGTTTCCTTGCATAATTTGAATATGAGGACACTGCTAACGTTTAAATTTCACAGATAGGACATACATGACATATTCATAATTCCTGCAAAGTTCTTCAGCATTTGAGGTTGGCTGCAAAAGATACATAGTACCTTTAAACCAAAAAAAAAGCGGTCGTTAATCATAATAAAATTGTAATTTGATTGCTTTACCCGAAAGAGCATAGTCTCTGTCGTATTAATATTAGATAAGTCAAACTAAGCAAAATATGTGGTACTCTTAGCAGAATGAGGTTGGATGTAATATAAAAAAATAATAATTCACGTCATTCTCCATAGAATTAACATTTTTGGGAATAAAACACACTTTTTCAGTGACCTAAACGTTTTGATATGATTCTGATGAATGTCCACAAGCTGCCCGCATATAGTTAGATTAATGTTTTCTCCGATCCTCTTTCATGAAATGTTTGTGATAACTGACAATTATAGTCCTGATATAGATAAGCCTATATTATTATTATACATTTCATATCGTTTCAAAAAAGTTTATAGATCAATCTCCGACCATTCTTTAGCTTGATCAAGGAGATGTTAACTATATTAGTCAAGATTCAAGAATAAATCATATTGTCGCAATCATGTCATGAAAATAGGTATTTATTCCGACTTTATCGGTGATGATGATGATATTCACAACGACGATGATATGATATGAATGAATAATTATACGAACAAACGATTGAACGAACGAATGAATGAATAAATGAAGAAAAAAAATGAACGAAGGAATAAATGCATGGATAATGATGATGATGATGATGCCTTGCGCGTTCACACAACGATGCAGCCTACGTGCAGATGATAAAATTATAAGTCGCCCTCTATAGATACAAATGATGAATACCGCCAATAAGTTCAAAGGTGCTAGGTCAGTGGTGCTTATACGCTGCGCGCGCTCTCTGTGGAAAAAACCCACTTCTATTTATAGGATGCAGAAGATCTACCCAAGTCATGTGATTTTGCTATTATAAACTTATTTGTATCCCGGTACACATTTCAACAGAGGATTAATACTTTTGATCAAAGTTAGGTGCACCTCTTTCGACATATATTTTTAATCAACGTGAGAAATAATTGCTACAGATCTGCATGCAGTTTGGACGCACTTGTTAAAGACTCAGGATGTTGGTAGATCTACTACGTCACAGCTTATAGTTTGAGCTTGCATAAACTCACTGTAGTGTAGGCTAATAACTTCTAGTGTCATTAGCTGATCACATTTTAAAGTTTTATCGGACATCAATAATATAGGGGTATAACGAGCTCGTGTTTGTAATTAGCCAGAAATACGATATTTGTACCAATTAAATGGCTGCGAAGATGGAGGAAAAGAAAGCTCCAAGCTTTTCACATAACCTAACCTGTCCACTATGTCTTGGTATCTTCGACGAGGCAACCATCCTGACTTCATGCGGACACACATTCTGTCGGAAATGTCTCAAGAACTATGACCTGTCCCATCAGGAACTTGATCACATGATATGTCCTCTCTGCAGGGAGGTCACCAAGTTGTCTGCGAACCGTGTCGATAATTTCCTCACCAATGTGACTGTCAACGGACTTGTAGACAATTACCACGCCAAGTGTGGAGGGGTGAATGCTGCCCTTGAGGTGCGTCCAAAATGCACTGCTTGCAAGTTCCATCAAGATGCTGTCTCATTCTGCAGAACATGTAATAATTATATGTGTGATAAGTGTCTGGATTGTCATCAACATCTCAAAGTCGTCTTTGAAGGTCATGAGATTGTATCCATGGAGGATATCATCAAGGGGAAGGTCAGCATTGGTCACCTTTCTGAGAAGTGCTGCATCCACAAACAAGAGAACAAAGATATGTTTTGTGAGGATTGTAAGGTCCACGTCTGTCACAAGTGCGTGATAGTCAGTCATCAAAATCACAACATCAAGAATCAGGCTGACTTCGAGCAGGAGTTACGGCTAAAGGTAAGTGTGGTTTCATTTGACATTTAACAAAAAAACTCGCATTTGGCTAATTAAGCCTGACAATAATTGGTCTTAAAAGTAGTAGTATCATCATTATTCTTATTATTATTATACTTTTTATTGTTTGAACTAATATTCTAATCATTATTTTCATAACGAATATCATTATTAAGATTATCATTATACTATTACTATTTGGCCTAAATGTCCATTCTGATTTTCTTATATTTCTGCTTTCATAGAAATTAATTTATCAAAAGGGTTGTATTCCCTTCTAAGAAAACAGAAAAAACAATGTATTAAAGTCCGCGGTCCTTATGATTATGTGTACGGGGGTGCCGGGGAGGGGGTGGGGTCGTGTTTCTTACTTTTATGAAACACTCGACGCGCGCAAATGCCGGTGTTTGATTTTTAAACAAGCTCCATATAATTGGCATACATCTAATTCTTAAAATATGTTCTTGCCACTTTTCTATTATTCGTTTTGGTTTAGGTGAACGACCTTGTCCAGCGTTGTGCAAGTAAAAATTCAGAACTGGAGAAGAACATTCAGAATGTGGAGGTACAACGAAATGAAGTATACATTGCCGTGCAGAAACTACTGGACGATGTCAATCAAACCTACAGCATCAAGGCCAAAGAGCTTGAAGAAAATCTTCGAAATCTCATCGAGCAGATCAATGCATTAAAGCAGAGTTTTGATGACGATCTCAACGTCTTGAAATCCAACGATCGTCAAAGGATCAAGAGTATCTGCAGTTCAATAACACTGGTAGCTAATGACAGACTGGGTCATTTTGAGACAGACAGTGTGTCTGCTCATACCTTGCTATGTTATAAGCTGGATGCCATGCTGAAGGAGGCTACTGATCACACTTCTGCGGTAGCCATTGCAAAGAAAGCACAGGAGATGAGGTTCAAGTCTGCAGATGTTACTTGCCTTGAACTCGGAAGCATCTCAGAATCAGCTCCCGATCACACTCCTGCTGCAGCCATTAGCAAGAAAGCACAAGAGAAGAGGGTCAAGCATGAAGGTGATACTCGTATTGAACTTGGGAGCATCTCAGAATCAGCTACTGATCACACTTCTGCTGCAGCCATTAGCAAGAAAGCACAGGAAAAGAGATTCAAGCATGAAGATGATACTCGTATTGAACTCGGAAGCATCTCAGAATCAGCTACTGACCACACTTCTGCTGCAGCCAGGAAGACAGCACAAGAGAAGAGGTTCAAGTCTGTAGATGATACTAATTGTCTTGAACTCGGGAGCAACTCAGAATCATATCCCCAGTTGCAAATCATGGAGTCTGTAAATCTTCGGGGACGGATGTTTGGTATCACCCCGTACTCTAAGGACAGTGTAGCTATCGGATATATTGATGTACGTGGTATCATCGATATCATCGATTCAACTGGTTATCAGGAGCAGTATGAAAACATAACAAGTAACATGAAGTGCGTTGATCTTGTGTTTCAACAAGACGGGTCGGTATTCATATCGACTGGTAACAATAAGGCACACATATATGCTCCTGATGGATCCAGGAAATCAACCATACACGTAAAAGGCAACGAACTTAATCTCAAACTAAACAGAAGTCCATCAGATGAAATCCTCATCGCGAACAGTGAGAAGAAAGTCTATATCTTAAACCCGACGGGATCCACTCTCAAACACACTGTTCCAACAAAATACAAGACGAGCCAAGTATCTGGCACCAGTTCGGGTTTGATCGTCACGACAAGTTTATGTGATTTAACCAATTTAAGCGTGGTGACGGTCTATGACAGGAATGGGAATGCTGGTAAGTCTCTACAAGCTCCAGAAAAGTATGTCTACCTGCATGCTGCCGTGGATGAGCAGGACAGGGTGTATGTAGCGCATGTAATTAATGAGAGTCAGAGTTATCAATTGCATCAGTACTACTACTTGCAAATCAGGCTCTACGACCTTGATGGTCTGAACCTCAAGGAGAGAGTTGAGTTCGGTGCACGTGATCTGCGTATTGATATTGCACCACGTAGATGGGGTGATTACTTGGTTTCTCTCTCACCAGACGTGCTCGCGTTTGCTTGTGACAAGAAGTTGTATTTTATCAAAGTATCACTGTAATGCATCTCTCACTCTGTATACCATTGTGTAGTGTATACCTCTCCGCTCCAGCCCTTGCTTAATACGGGCTTATGTTTCATAATCTATCGTTTATTATGTGATAACTAACCGAATGAGAAAAGACGCCCATTCTCTCGATAAATTTTAATTGCCGGTATACAGTTGACATTATCCAATGTAATAATAACACCCCTCTATCGAAATAGTATGTAAATACTATGCGTAATATGCATCTATTTCATGCTTTGTGTAATCGTTTCTCTTAGAGATTTACTGAAATCATTTTTTTTTTTATCATAACCCTTTTTTTTCTCTGAAGGAAATTTAAGAGGAAAACAAAATATTGTGGATAAGAAAAGAAATAATTTGAAATTTATACGCAAACTGGTCGACGAAATAGTACAAACTTTATTTGCGATTTGTTTAAAATATGAAAATATAATATTTTTCATCTGTAAATGTGTAACTTTATTTGTAACTTTGTATGGGCATGTAAAAGTTCACTTGCATATTTATTTAGACCTATGTGAAGATTATTTTGTTATTTTGTATGCAATGTTATAAAATATGTACAATTTTCTTTATGAGAGAAATTAATAAAAACCTATGAAAAAAAGAAGGAAAAAAAAGAAGAAAAAAGGGGTGATTATGCTATCATAATGCATAACTTGAAATTGGTAAGATATTAATTAATTTCATATTAGTTTTATTTCCCTTATGTTGTTATTCTCAAAATATATTTTTTGTTAATGTTTGTGTTTATATTTCTTGACTTGTATTGTGATTATTTAGTACTTTTAAATTAAAGGACCACATTTTACATAAGCATTTCAGCTTCCACGGGTCAACGGTTCCGTCAACCTGTCAAGTTATGGTATTATTATCTTGTTTCATTTTACAATATCATTTTACTCTTCGCAGGGATGTTACATTGAACTTGCCTAATAGTATACATTAAATCAATTTGTTTTAAATCCTTTGTGGACCATTTCATTAAAAAATTCCTTCGTTTTCACCTTGCACTTTGTCTGAAAAGCCATGAAATGAGTGCTTTGGGAACTGATAGTATGGCAGATTAGTTTGCTACGGTGTAGAGAAGAAAAACGTACATGTATTAACAAATATTAGGCCTAGTTTACCAGTCGCGAGTTCTGTTTCCAGACCAAACGTCCAAAGGCATTTTAAAATACTATGATATCTTTGTAAACGTTTAATGCAATTCTGTAATGATTAGTGATTTCACTTTGAATATTTCATGTAAATATTTTGTTGTATGCAAACGGTATTGTTGATTGACACTGGATGAGTCCTTTGATGTTTGATAGAAAAAGACAAAGCGTAAAGAGAGAAATGAACGGAGATAGGAAGAATAGTGGAGAAAGAGAGGGATCGTTTACTCTTCCAAATATACCGTAGTAATGAAAGCAAATAAAATGTCTCGCTCTATTATCAGGGATGCTAATCAAGTGGATCTCCAACATAATACTACTGAAAGCCTAAATAAGTCGCCATCTATATAGAACCAATCCCGACCTTATTCTTTTTTCTTCAGTTGTGGAGTTTTGGTTGTGTCTAGAACTCTAGATAATGTACCTGCAACTTCTTCTCGACAGAGTTCGGTGCATGGGCATGCGGTGACCCAATGTGATCGACTTGCATTCCCTTTACGGGGCCCAATCCCATAAGTCAATGTTCAGGATGAAAAACAAAATCGTAGATGGCATTGATGGTTAAGTAACTTTGTTCAGTCAATTCTTGTGGGAAAATGGGACTACTATTTCGAGACATACTACTGGCCCTGCACTGTTCTGTACAACGTTTAGTTAAGTACCTGTAAAGGGAAATCCAATCTTTATATCAAAACACTCTAGAGAAAAGAAGAAAAATCAGAAAAGTAGACTGGTGAAAGTTTGAATGAAATCGTACACAAAATGAGAAACCTATTAATTTGGAAAGTTGTAATTGCTCTATATATTATACGGGCTCTTCAAATTGGCTGAATCGGTAATGTCTCTGTGATGTAGTGGCGGACAACTTTCCGGTTTGTTCCAACACACAATTTAATAAAATGTCTTTTTTCTTTTCTTCAAAAGATATTGACTCAGGACGGTATATTATCTTAAGAGGACCTATTACAATATATGCCATACATAATATATATTTGAGTAGTACCCCAAGAAGGCGCTCAGACAAAAACAGAAATATATATGATATTCCTTTTACACGACAAACAGGAGATTTGTCAGGCACTACGTCACAATAATTCACTAACCAATCTGTCAATTTGAGATATATAGACTTAGTGATCTCTCATTTAAAACATTCGATTTAAAACAAAAAACTTTCACCATTCTTGGATTGTCCTTTACCGTATTTTGAATTTTTCTGTTTGCTCATTTTTTTCATAACTTAGAAAATAATTATAAGTATGTATACGCTGTAAATATTATATTACATTAACATTTTTATTTTTCTTTGTATACTGACACAGTACTGTTGACATAAACTGGATATATATGTGGAGGATCTAGATTATAGCTTACTTGTCTTTTGTGATATTGCCATCTGTAAAATAAGTATCATGTTGTTATTACTGTAAGCCGATATATCGAAATTAAAACCACAAGAATAGCACATTTTCTGAGCATAACAAAACTACTGATTATATTTGTTTAGTCGTTATTGAGGTGATGAAAGAAATCTCTAAATGGAGTGCAAGCTGACGAAGAATTTGGTAATATTGATCCTAACTATAGGTTACACTTTGATCACATTTTGCTGGCCATAAAATAATTATAAGTATCTATACGCTGTAAATGTAGCCTATATTATATTACATTAACATTTTTATTTTTCTTTGTAAACTGACACAGTATTGTTGACATAAACTGGATATATATGTGGAGGATCTAGATTATAGTTTACTTGTCTTTTGTGATATTGCCATCTGTAAAAATAAAAAAAAAAAAAGTATCATGTTGTTATTACTGTAAGCCTGTATATCAAAATTAAAGTCACAAGAATGGCACATTTTCTGAGTATAACAAAACTACTGTTTATATTTGTTTAGTCGTTATTGAGGTGATAAAAGAAATCTCTAAATGGAGTGCAAGCTGACGAAGAATTTGGTAATATTGATCCTAACTAGGTACACTTTGATCACATTTTGCTGTACATACGCTGTGAGACCTTTCAACATGTTTCTTAGTATGCCTTGTTATCTCATACTGTATGGACAGCAAGATGTCATCTCAGTTACGTGTCCATACGCTGTCAGACCTCTTGCCATGTTTCTTATTTGTCTTGCTATCTCACACTGTATGGATAACAAAATGTCATCGTAGTTACGTGTCCATACGCTGTTAGATCTCTTACCATGTTCTCAACATATTATATTAATTCTGTTTTTTACTTTTCCCTCTCTTACGTGCTCTTTCCATTTCTCTTTCTTATACGAATTCTCACTCATCGTCTCGACCTATTAACTACTCTTCCCTTTCTCTCTCTCTCTCTCTCTCTCTCTCTCACGCTCTGGAATACCCACCCTCTTTCGAAATCAATATGCTACACATGAAGAAAAATATATAGAACTTGGGTTTAACTGTAGATATACATGGACAGTTTAATCAACTACATTCAAGATTATTTGATGAAACAAAAATAATTATCATACTCATTTCCCGGTTTTGCAGTACATCTGTTTATGGCTTTGAATGAAAATAAATACTGCATTATTTGACTTTTGTATTTAAAAAAACACACCAATATTTAAAAAAAAAATGAATTAATAAGAAATACATTTTAAAAGAAACTTAACTCATATTAAATACTTTACATTACTCTTAACATATATGTAATATCTCAGTCACACTGACGAGAGCAACACTATATAATAATTATAGACCGACACTAGACCGCACTAATATAAATCACCGTTTCCTCAAATGTCAAAAAACAGAGCGGGGGTGGAGTCGGTTTGAACTCATATTATGCTCAATAATATAAATAATATAAATTATAATATTCGGGGAACTTTTTATACAAAGCCACCATGGGCTTTTCCTTTGTTCTCCAATTTCATTTTAAACTTTTGTAATAACTGACCATTCCTGATTATATACTTGTATGTTTATTTGTATTTGCTGTGTTTTTTATGGCAATGAAATAAATAAACGAACTTGAATGTTTGAGTCTCGTGTAGTACTGGCTCTTCAGAGAATGAAAACGAGTAAATTAGCAAACAAACCCGTTGTGCTATTCAATTCTTCCGTAACATATTAAAATTGTAACTTATAAATAAATGGAAAGGGCATTTGCAATTTGGCCAATGACCATAAAAAATACGCATAAAAACATTTTAATTACCAGTACATATACATTAAACATACCGTATTACTATAGTCACAAAAATATGTGAGGCAGATTGCTCTAACCAGTATCCTGTGCAAATCAAAATGTAGATTCATAAACACTTGTTTTAGACCGGTAATGTAAGTGAATGAATGACTGGCTCACAAAACTGATTAGAAAAAGTATCAGTACTCTGGGACTCTTTTCAGAAACTGTAAAATTTGGTCCAAGCCATACAGTACGCAGGGGGGGGGGGGGGGGGGCGGGTTTTGGGAGTTAACCCCCCCCCCCTTTGTTTTTGTTAATATACACCTCGAGACTAAAAAAAAGAAGAAGCTAATGGGTGACCTAAAAAAGGTGACCATACCCCGCCCCCCCCCCCCCTAAGCCAGGAATAACAAACTTCTGTTCGTTTAAAGTAATGCTTGCATTTCCATAATTTTATTAGACGAATTCGTTTTCACTGGCTGTCTACCGGAACAACAAAGAAGACAGAAGACTTCATGCATGACTGACGAATCAGAGTTTGTTGTTTGTTTCTACGGCAGGCAGCCAGTGATCTGAAAACGTATTCGTTTGATAAAATTATGGAAATGCAAGCATTACTTTAACCAAACAGAACTTTGTTATAACTGCAGTGGCTACCCTGGGTAAATAAAACGTTATTATTATATTAATATTCCTGGCTCATTCTTCCTGATTGAGGTGTCATAATTAGGAAAGGGCAGAAACTGAACTTTTTAGAATGAATTTCTCTTTGAAATTCAGATACGTACCGTCCGCCAAATGACTTTTTGTTTCCCTTTCTTCAAATTGTTTTGAATAACTAATGCGTGAAATATGCATCATTATGAGTTGCATCAACTGAACTTGATCTAAGCTTTACAAATATCTTGTCGTTTATAAATTATAATTGATATTAAGTTATGATAAAACATCGATAATTCTCGGTTTCGTTTTTTCTGGGATGCACTGTATATGTTAATGCCTGTTTGATGACGAGAATGATGATGATGATGATGATGATGATGATGCTCATGATGATGATGAGGAGGAGGAGGATGATGATGATGATGATGATGATGATGATGATGTTGCTGATGATGATGATGATGATTAGGAGGAGGAGGATGATGATGATGATGATGATGATGATGATGATGATGATGTTGCTGATGATGATGATGCTGATGATGATGAGGAGGAGGATGATAATGATTATGATGATGATGATGATGTTGCTGATGATGATGATGATGAGGAGGAGGAGGAGGAGGATGATAATGATGAGGATTATGATGTTGCTGATGATGATGATGATGAGGAGGAGGAGGATCGAGGAGGAGGATGATAATGATAATGATAATGATGATGATGATGATGATGATGATGCTGATGATGATGCTGATGATGATGAGGAGGAGGATGATAATGATAATGATGATGATGATGATGTTGTTGCTGATGATGATGAGGAGGAGGATCGAGGAGGATGATGATAATGTTAATGATGATGATGATGTAAATGACAAATTGACAATTAATGCTGATTATGATTGATCATTGATGATGATTATCATAATCATGCTGATGAATGTACACAGCGCTGCCCGTATATAGTTGGATTAATGTTTCCTTTCCTTGTTCATGAAGTAATTGTAACAAAGTGCAATTACTTACGGTCTCGAAAGATATGCCCATATACCGTTTATCTTCTGAAAATGAATAGATTAACCTCTCATTCTTTAGATTGATCAAGAAGATATGAACTATATTCATCAAGAATAAGTCATATTGCCACAATCAAGTCATGAAAAGTGGTCAGAAAATTTATTCCAACTTTATCGATGATGATGATGATAACCACCATGGTGAAGCAATTAAGCATGAATGAATAATGATGCAAACGAATGAACTTACGAACGAAGGAAAAAGAATGAATTAAAAAAATTTTTAAAAAAACACCCCCAAACACGAATGAATGAATAAATGAAGGAATGAAAGAATGGATGATGATGATGATGATGATGATGATGATGATGATGAAGAGGAGGAGGAGGAGGCAGTGGCAGATCCAGCCGGCGGGAAGAGGGGGGGGGGGGGCCAATCCGTGAGAAAATATTAGTTGCGACTCAGCCACCGGTGAATAAGCGAGGGGGGTGGGGGGGGGGGCAGTAGGAGGCACTTTTTTGGGGGTCCAGTTTTTCAGGAAATATTTTGCGCCGACTCAGTCAGCCGGTGAATAAGCGAGGGGGGGGGGTGAGACCACTATTTTTGTTTTTTTCACCTAATTCGCGAGAATTTTTTGTTTAAATTCTTTTTTTTTTTGACCCGTCAGCCCCCCCCCCCCCCCCCCCGTGGATCCGCGCCTGCAGAGGATCCAGACGGCGTCAGGGGGGGGGGGTAGCCAAATCTTAATACAAAATTTAGTGCCGACTCAGCCGGCCGGCGAATAAGCGGGGGGGGGGGGGGGGGCGCGCGCTTTTGTTTTTTGTTTTATAAAGGTTAACTTTACGTTATTATCCTTTTTTTTTTATCGTTTTGGGGGGCTAGGGGGGGGGGGGCAGGGCCGGAATAATCGCTACGTGGATCCGCCCCTGGGAGGAGAGGCCGGAGGCCGAGGAGGAGGATGCGTGCCTTGCGCGTTCACACAACGCTGCACAGCCTACGTGCGAGTGCAGACCTACCGTACATGAGAATTACATATCATTGAACGCGCGGTGTGTGAACATGACAAGTTTCGCATTCAACACTGCACTTTCCGTTTTCGCTTCCTTTTCCAATTTTTTCTGACGTTTTCTGGCTGATGTGATATTTCAGTACATCGTACAAGATGGGTACGTGGAAGCTGGAAGTGGTTAAGGTATGTCAGTGCTATATTGTTATTTTCCGTTAATAGATTACCCCGTAATTAACTATTTAGAAGTATAAAATGCCCCAATTTGTTATTGTGGTCCCACGTGCTAATATTCACGTTATATCACCATAATTATATTTCTTTGCAAACTTTTGAGCGTGTATCATGTATCACAGCTCATTAATTTAGTCACAAGTAGTAATTTTTAGCGCTTTGGAAGAAAAATATAATAATCTCTCTTTATTTTGATAGTGATGCATGCAATCAATTAACTTTTTATTGGCAGTGACTAATGATTTTAGTTTACACTTCAACTTCAAATAGATCTAATCAAAGTTTCCTTGAGGCTTGACCATGTTTTTGTAGATGAACGTGATGAATATGAAAATGGATTTATAAAATGTTTGATTACTTCATCTGTATACTTTAATAGAGCTACGACCCTTAAAAGAAATGTCCAGAAGGAGAAACTTACTACCGGCATTCTTGCATGAAATAGATGTGAAATAAATCTCTTTCTTCACTGTTCTTTAGTGTAACGGTGAAAGAAAATTGAGATATTTTGTCTTTGATGGCCCACATTTGCAAAGGAGGTTTGTCGACAAACCGAGGTTTATGTGCATCATATGACACGTTTTGATGCGTTTCAAAGGAGGTTTGTTGACAATTCTAGGTTTAAGTGCGTCATATGAGGCGTTTTGATGCGTTTCAGACCAAGGTTCAGACAAACCTTGGTCTGAAACGCATCAAAACGCGTCATATGACGCACATAAACCTTGGTTAGTCGACAAACCTCCTTTGTGAATTCGGGCCTGTGTGTCTGGCCTCTTTGGCATCAAGTTTGATGTTATGAATAACATATTTTCCTCCCCGACAACTATGAAGATGGAAATGTATTTAATTGTCTGTACATAATCGTAGAGAACCTTACTAATACCATTACCAGTAGAAGTATAACAACTTCATAAAGCATTAACTTTCTTAATCTTTCTAATTTTTTATCTCATTTTCTGCCCCTTTATTGTAATAAGTGAAACTAACTTATTTCAAGGATGGATATAAACAAACTAAATATTTGTTCTTTTTCAGATGTCTATCTATGTGATGTTCCCTGTGACCATGTTTTATTACTTCAATCAGACAGACCTCTTTGAAACCTATGTCTCCAAAAAAGTTGTGAGTATCCATGAATAGTGACAAACATAAGTTTGCCATGCATCATGCATCTGTAAAATATTGATTGTACATTAAGATAATTTATGAAAGTCTGAATAGTAATGGCATACAGGAAACCAGGATCCTAAAAGTCAATGAATTTTTCATAACATGTAAAATAAATTGTCATTCTATTTTGCTTGTTTGTTGTGTTTGGTTTTTGTTTTAAAATAAATCCTAAATGATAATTAACGCTTTGTAAAGAGACATTTAAGTTCAAAACTTTTAATTATCATTGTACCAGTATGTCATATCCATCTTGAATCAGAGAGATGATGGCATAATACATTTCCAACATTTATGCACAGAAAAAAAAAATATGTGATGTACATGTATTGCAATATAACGTACTTGTGCATAATAATTGTCAAAGTTTTTAAAATCATAAATGCTTTTTTATATTTCATGTTTACAGAAAGAGATGTACCCTCCCGAGAGCAAGATGCATGTAAGTCAAACATAAATAGTTTTACAAAATGGCGTAGAGTCGACATCTGGAGCAATTTTACAAGGACATCCTTTGACAGTAGACAGTAGGCATTACTCTGAAGAAGAGAGAAAGGGGGGGGGGGGAGGGGGTATAAAGAAAGAAGGAAAGATAAATAAAAAATAAAGGGGGTGGGGTTACCTTCAAGTTTTTATCTATATTCACTCTTCTATTAAAGAGCACTGAATCACATATTTCTGTATTTTAAATTCTGTTTCATGTATTTGTGCTGTACAGCGCAACATCTGTTTGGGGCTACGTGTTCCATATCAGTATGTACTGTACATGGAAATCCCAAGTATGACTTCTAAGAGGTCATGCTTACCGGTATTTCAAGTGGGTCAAATACTTGTACAGACAGAATTCAGTGACAGAATGTACTGCTTACATTAGTAGTTTTCATAATTTGTTAGCACTTGATAAATTCATTGTCCTCTTTCCGTTTCATCTATTACAATTATATATTTTCTTTGAAAATATACTTTTCCCCTGGTTAATGAATGAAATAGAAAGTCAGAAACTGAATTGTCTTTTAAAAAAAAAAATGTTGTGTGGAAATTTTAATGTTCATTCTGCCATGAGCACCAAAAGGTGGACCTGTGCGCTATACAAGTAGCCACTTTTATTATTATTATTATTATTATTATTATTAACACATTTCATTATCACAATTTTTTTCTTCTTTCTTTAAACCGTTTGATAAGAAGCCCGAAATAACATAAGTCCATTAGAAATACGTATTAGAGGAAAATGAATCCTTCTTCAACATGTTAAGTAAAAGCACTTTAAATTTATTTATTTCTCATTATCTGTGTGTTTTGTTATTATTGACTCCACAGAGGCAAGAGTTGGAGGGTCTACGTCAAAGAATGCGGATAAAATATGAGGAGAAGCTGAAACATTTAGAGACTGAAGAAAGGGAGCTGATTGCTAGTGCTAAGAAGTCTGCATCAAGATAGTCCCATGCTGTGCCTTTTGTGATGGACTTGTTTTATTATTAAATTGTGCTGGAGCGTGTCATATTGAATGGACTCTCAGCGATCGATGATCAGGTCAAATTAAATTGCATCTTTGAAGTGATCAGCCATTTCTATGGTGACACGATCCCAGCAATAAAGGTCAACTGCGTTATACCGTCTCCCTGAAGCAAGCTGAAGATTCATGGAAATGGACTGGGACAATTTTCATGTTTATTCATTGTTGATTATTGTTTTATTTTAGAGAAATATCTGAAATGATTATGATGGTCATGCAGTACCTTTGCCTCAAAAAGCTGGGCCCTTCTCAGTATCAAATAAAAATACAGTCGATCAGTCATGACTACAATATTTATATTCTTAAATATGGAGTTAGCATTGAGGGGTATATGTACTTGTTTGGAAAAATCTGAGATGCAATAGGTTTCTTTGAGTTTTCAGCTTAGAAACACTTCGTATTGGGAGATGTTATGATGTGAGACCACAAATCGTCTTTCTTGTAGCACCTCTTACCAGACATCATGAAATCATTAAAGGGCGATTGAGGTTGGTGATTGAATGTCATGTTAAAATGCATCACTGAACTTTGATTCAAGATGTAGTGCAATGTAAATGCCACTTTAGAGTATCGGAGGCTTTGGTACAGTACCACTGTTCTGTTCTAGGAAAAAAAAGTTTGATTGATAATATTGCTGCTTCTTTTGCCAGCAAGCATGTAAAGTGGATACAAGGAGGACATGACATGTATTAATGTAATCTCACATGCAAAGTAAGTGGCTCTGTTGAAAGTAATCTTTTGTGAGACTTTTTCCTACTTTTGTGCATTTCATTCATAATGAACTGTACATACATGCAATTGATATTTGTTTTAAAGATTATTACTCATTGTATATTGGAACAAATTTTGGTTACATTATTAATAAACCAACTTGAAATAACCCTACAGATTAAAAATTGTCTTTGTCTTTAGGATTTGCTTAAACCTTTTATTCCTCATTTTTTATTTTGTATGTAAAGAGAAATCCAACCTCTGCCCAATTGTTTAAAGGTTGGGAAAAGTTATTTCGAAAAATAGGAACTTTACAAATGTTAAAAAATTACATTTCTAAATCTTTGTGTATGTTAATCTCAAGTTTGAAATTTTGTTGGCCCCTTGGGATATATTATACATGGCATGTTTAATAGACATCCTCCCCAGAAATGAATAACCTGGTGAGCACCAAAACTATAAGGATTGTATTTCAGTCACTTTGTGTGTAGGACCAAATGGGGGGGGGGGGGGGGGGGGGGGTCTGACTTGATATCAATTGCCATTTGAAATTATCAGAGAAATGGTGAAATCACATTTGCAAAATTGATCACTTTCTTTGATATTGTCTATTTTAATGTTTGTCATATGCTTCAAGGAAAAAGAACATATGAACCTTGTTCAGTCAGAATGTGCATTTACATGTACATGTACATGTAAGTGTAGGTGTATTCTGTTTGAAGAAATCCCCCCCCCCCCCACACCGAAAAAAAAAATAATAATAATACAAATAAATGTGTTTGGTTCAGTTTGAAACATATAGGACAAGTAGTTTCACTGAAAACTAGGGTCCCCTCCCTTCGCTCTCACCATCTCAAAAGTTGAGACGTTGGTGAAAGCCAGGGAGGATGGGGCTAGCTCTTAATGGAAGTGCTGGAATGTTAGGCTAATAATAATTACACTTTTATATAGCGCTTACTAAATCTATAGATATACAGAGCTTCCAACCTTGTGCGACCAAAAAAAGGAATTTCAAGCAACAAAAAAAAGGAATTCATTAAAACGAAACTTACAACCACGTGCGACACAATTCCAATGCAGAAATGTCCATTCCTTATGCTGTTTTTTTTTTCTCCATACAAGCAGGTTTAAAAAAAAAAAAAAAAAATGTTTGTATTATCAGTACCGATATTTCATTCTTTTTGATAATATTTTTCTCTTCAAGTATGTATTCAAGTATGTTTTAAATTTAGTTTTCTATTGAATTTGTGATCAAATCAACATTTTAGGGCAGTTGTTTGATGTGCAGTATATAAAAAAAAAAAAGAAGATTTATGAAGAAAAAACATAATACCGTAATTTGGAGGAAAAAAACAGTAATTCCGGCAAAAACGGAATGGTTGGCAGCTCTGGATATACCATTACCCCGGTCATTGGCCAAAATATTCTGCACACATGGGCTTCTCTTTGACATCGTAAATCTTGTACAGATTTTGCTCTCCTCTTTCTTCACATTAAAAGAACGTTGCAAAAAAAAAAAAAAAAAAAAAACGTAGAATGCAACTACAAGAAAGACAACATTGTTGCTTGCAAATGATATGTATTTATTTAGATACATGTGGATTGCTACGTATTTTCAAATCATAACTATACATACAATATATTCCACTTAAGCTTTACACGATATTGTTCCATACGTATATTAACCAATACAAAGTAAGCATGGCAAAGAAATGAAGTAATCATAAATGTGAACATGATTTTATAAATATTTTTTTTTGTCATTCATACAAACCATTGTTCAATTTTTTTAATAGATTAACTAATTCCTTAAGACACAGTTCAGACAAATAAAAATAAATACATTTATATGATAACAATTAACAATACACATTTTGTACAAGTTTAAATAAAATGGCTAAGTTATGTTTATACGTAAGTGAATATTAACCTTGTCTTATACATTTCTGGTAGGTTTGCACCAAAGCTGTGTGGGGTTAGTTTAGTTATCAACACCTTACTATCTCGTTAGTGCAGTTAATAGTCTTATGAACTTTGTTTGCTATCTTGCATCAAAGGTACTTGATCAATACAGAACATGGACATATAATATGAGCATGTTCGTATTCTTCTAATAAACAGCAGTATAAAATGATGCATTATATACAGCCCTCATTTTATAACAGCGTCCAAAAGTATACCCTACTTTATACCCTATTTTAAGGACATAATTACCTGATTTTCAAAGTAGAAAACAGCACACAAAGAGTTTTGTTGGATAATGAATATTTTCATCTTCCAATTTTCCTCAAATTGTTCTGAAAATTTCCCAAATGTCTTTTGGGAATTTAACACACATATATATTTGATGCTAAATATATTAGTGACAGTTAGATTTGGTGTAATATCTTTACAGTGCATAGCACAAGGGTAAAAAAGAAGTTTTTTTTTGAAGCTCTTCACATATGTATAAAGGTGGGAATTTTCTCTTTTTTTCATATACAGACCACTAAAAAGTGAACTGGGCCTTAAATGTAATAAAAGCTCAAACCTGAAATCGCACATATGGCAAGATAAATTCATGATAATGCATGCATGACTCTGATATGCAAGGTGAAAGAACCAGAGCTCAAAGAAAAAAAGGAAATCAAATGAAATGAGAGAAAAGGGGAGGGGATGTAAGGCAATCTACAGATGGTCAGATAGAGGGAATTTCAATGATAACTTTTTATCTGCCACATAAATAATATAAGTGACGGATACACCAAAGGCTTCGATATTTTGGTTTTCAGCGCAAGATCAATCTATACCAGTGTTAAGAGGGTTGTCATGGAGGTAATCAAGACTGTAAATGGGTAATTTTGCAAAGCCACTGTGTTGCACAAAGCAATCATACTGTCAATCAGTGCTTATCGCTTTGCGCAAAGTAGAACATATGGCAAACAAGCGATCGTGCAGAGACGCATAAGAAGCAAACAAAATGTAAATTCAATTCTTTCATTCTGTAAGGGTGCACACAATAGAAACACTGCTATTTACCTTTGAAATGGGCAACTCATTATGGATATTATCCAACGTATGACTTTAAACTTACTACACCTATTTTTAGTAGACTACTGTACCTATAATAGCACCAAGTAACTGCTCTAGAAAACATAAATACCTACTGTTGATGCGTGATGACACAGAGATATCATAATTGAACAACGCAAGAAAGTATGATACAGTATAAAGAATACACACCCATGACATATATTTCATTACTTCTATTCACAATTAATGCTTTGAAATGAAAGTACATGCTCAGAACAGTTCAGATAAAAGTGATGTTGCAACTTGAAACAGGTATGTATGCAGACTTCAAAGAATGATTGCACAAATAAAGAGCACAACTTCCTCTTAATGCTTCTTCATTGTCGAGAACACAGTAAAGAACAAAAACATTGCCAGAAAACGAAATTGCATGAACATATTATGGCCCTGTCTTACAAAAGTTGCGATTGATCCTGATTACTAGCAAGTCCAATCGTGCAAACTCTTACCTTTTCAGAACACAGTTGCGATTGATATCAAGTTGTGAATGATTTGAACCAATTGTAACTGATAATAAGACTGGGCGAGGAGATGCCCATAGTATAACTCACAGGATGTCTCTTTTGTTTAGACATACCATGTCTCCTCCTTTACAGTTTAACAACTACAATCTACAGTACACAGAAAGATTTCTATCTTTGCCATGAAAGAATATCCCATTCATTCCTTAGATGTACACATAGTTCTATAATGGTACTGATGTTTTCAAAGAGTTCTAAATCATTTAAAAATTGCAATCTCAAAATACTGTGATACACAAAACATCAGAGGACAGACCTTAAGATATGATAAATAAAGGACAAGCGATTGTGTACGAGTTTTGTAAAGTCTTGCTTCTACTAATATACCTTGCAATATTACGGTATCTGAGCAAAAGTTTTCCACGTGAAATACTAATATCAACAGACGACTACAAAATGAATTACCTGCTAAAACTTTCAAATCCCCAATACTTTCTTAAGAACATACAGTGAAAGTCATTTGTATAATACAGTGCTTTTATAAGGCTTTCATTTCAACAGCTGTCGATCGTGAACATTTACACATTCCCCTTTGATCCATTGGATCATCTTCATTTCTTCTGCCAGCAGATGAATGTTATATCTAAGCATCCTTTTCTAAAATATCCTTTTACATATTTATGATACTGATCTGTGATGAAAATGAGAACACAATTAATGATGAATAATAATGAAATAGGAACCAATTACAATGAAGTTATGTGGTCTTTTCAATCAGAAGCTATGATACACACGCACTTGGATTAAAGTGATAATATCAAACCTTAATAGTGTTTTGGTGCAGAAAGTATTAAAGAGAAGGCAGATTGATTAAAATCAGACACTTCTTAAAGAAAAGGTGAACAGAGTTTGTTCTTTGCTTCTGAGTGAAGATAACAAAATTCATTCACATGCACACTCATGTCTCAATGTCTTGATGTTCAGAAAAAAATTCTGTCCTCATCTCTTAAACATTTCAGGCAATGTCTAGTCAAAGAAGACAGAGACAATTGCAACATACAGATTTTCTCCCCCCCCCCCCCCATCCCCACTTCTTTATATTTGTTGACTTGACCTCCTCATATAACAAAGGCATGCTAATATATGGAAGCCAAGGGAAATATCAATTAGGAATTTCCAAAGAAATATTTAGAATATACCTGTACTTTATACATATATTGAGTGCTACAAGAACATTACAGGTTGAAATCAGGACAGTAGGAAAATAAGGAAGCTGCTCTTTTTTGGAAATGGCATTCTAATGAATGCCATAGGAAGCCTATTTGGGGAAGAATACACTTCAGTAAGGAAAATAAACTTGGTCATTTCTAAGATTCACAAAATAGTTAAGTGGAAAGAACATGGGATATAAATTGTGTGTTTTACATTGTATATGTCTGCACTTCTGTTGTGTTGAAATCTACCTGTAGTTCATCGTATGATGCAGAAAGAGGACTGTGAAGTTTGTAATGGCAACGTTATTCAAGAGAAACTTTAAATACAGGAAGAGAACTGTTTAAATACAGGAAATTTCACCTTTAAAAATTAAAAATAGATATTGTATTTCTTAGGGTAAGTTATACAGTGTATTTATAGTGTATGCA